AATTAAAACGGCATTGAAAAAAAGTGACTTATGACCTTTTTAGAAACTTTGCGGCAACTGGTTCGTATTTATGACCGTTGCTCTGCCCCAAACTCATGTTATTCCCATCTTGAAGAGCTGACAAGCAAAGTTAATGGAAAACCGAATTCATTTAACAACCAGGTTACTTACTTATCAACTGCCGTGGTTCACTTAAACAGCTGAGGTAAGAAAGGTCATAAAATGGGGCAAAATTCACTTAACAAATGTCTCGCTTAACACCAGAAAATTTGGGCTCAGTTGTGGTCGTAAATTAAGGATTACCTGTGGTATTTTTGAACAATTTTGGAAGATTGGATTATTAAAATACATTCTGATATGCTTTTGCAACGATGATGTATTGAAAAAATATATAAGAAAGAATAGAATAGAATAGAATAACAGAGTTGGAAGGGACCTTGGAGGTCTTCTAGTCCAACCCCCTGCTTAGGCAGGAAACCCTATATTACTTTAGACAAATCGTTATCCAACATCTCCTTAAAAACTTCCAGTGTTGGAACATTCACAACTTCTGGAGGCAAGTTGTTCCACGGATTGATTCTTCTAACTGTCAGAATATTTCTCCTTAGTTCTAAGTTGCTTCTCTCCTTGATTAGTTTCCACCCATTGCTTCTTGTCCTGCCTTCAGGTGCTTTGGGGAATAGCTTCACTCCCTCTTCTTTGTGGCAGCCCCTGAGATATTGGAACACTGCTATCAAGTCTCCCCTAGTCCTTTTATATGTTCTGTATTTTATATGTTCTGTAGTTCACTGTTTAAAGTTCCCTTTCTCCTTCTACAGATATATTGAACAAAGTCCACTTACACAATGGGCAATATTGGAGCTGCAGATGCAAATGAATATCAGAGGTGATCTTTTGTTCAATATCAGGGATTATTCGAAAGAAAAAGTTGTGAGTATTTTTAACGTTTTCTACTTTTATTATTTATTAATTTCTGGTCCAAGATCAAACCCACAAACATTAAAATCCATTCCGCAAATTTAAACAATCGTGTGTAATTTATATAAAAGCAAAGACAATCAAAGCTGTGAGGGTAGGTACCAATTGATTCTAATGGCCTAAAGCTACAGACAAAAATTTAGCCCCCACCCTGGAACGTTTAAAAATTGATCACTTAAAAGGAAAACAATGATTTTCTCATTATGATGGAAATTAAACTTTGGAATAATTGAGGTTATAAATTTTAATCATCATTTTCTATAAATCAACATTTTAATAGTCTGAGGGATATAGATTCAACCTCCTTATCTGAAGATATACAAATATTATTTTCCTAGGAAGGTTGAAATATAAGGGGGACCTTTGCACAGGTTCGCCTGGTGCACCAATTGCGACCCTACTTGGATCAGGAGGCTCTCCTCACAGTCACTCATGCCCTTGTCACCTCACGGTTAGATTATTACAACGTGCTCTACATGGGGCTACCCTTGAAGAGTGTTCGGAGACTACAGTTGGTCCAGAATGCAGCTGCGCGAGCTATTGTGGGTGCACCTAGATACACCCACATTACACCAATTCTCTGCGAGCTGTACTGGCTCCCTATTGGTCTCCGGGCACAATTCAAGGTGTTGGTTATTACTTTTAAAGCCCTACATGGTTCAGGGCCAGGCTATCTTTGAGACTGCCTTCTACCGCATAGCTCCCAGCGACCGGTAAGATCCCACAGAGTTGGTCTCCTCCGGGTCCCGTCAGCGGGGGAGGGCCTTCTCTGTGGCTGCCCTAGCTCTCTGGAACCAGTTACCTCCTGAGGTCCTGACTACCCCCACCCTATTTGCCTTCCGGAAAGCGGTGAAGACCTGGCTTTTCCGGCAGGCCTGGGGCCATTGATCTCGCTGTTCAATTTTGCGAGATCCGGCCATGGATGGTGTGCATGTGTTTTTAATGTTTTTAAAATGCTTTTATAATGTTTTTTTTTAAAAAAAATTATGTTCACTGTTTGTATTATTTCTGTTGTAAGCCGCCCAGAGTCCCTAGGGAGTTGGGCGGCATAGAAATATGATTAATTAAACTAAATTAAATTAAATTTCAGTTGTCACCTTAATGCATAGTACATAAATTTGGGCAAGAGAACAAAAGCCTCCTATGTGGAAAATTCATATTTTTAATATATTTTTGATTGTTTTTACCCATACTTATTTTTTATAAATACCTCAAGGTGGTGTACATATCGAATATTCCTCTGGCCCATTTTTCAGCTGTATTGGCCTGTGGATATCTGCTATGTGTTGTTGCCCAGCTGTTATTTTATGTTATGTATAGTTTCAATTTACTGTTTTTATTTTGTTTATAATTGTTAGGACCCTAGTCATGCATTTGAGATGGGGAGATGCACATTTAATAAACAAACAAAGAAAGAAACATTTGGAACAGTCATGTTTCTGGAAAAGTGAAACATATCATGCCAAAAAGGATTATATTAATCACTATCAAGAGATAAGATAAAACAATATTGATATATATTTTAATATATTAAAAGTAATGTACTGATGTATTGAGGAAGGTGGGTGGTTATGAAATATAAATAATAAATAAATAAATGTTGCTTTTCCTAAATAATTACATTTATATCTCATTCATCAATCTAATAGTTCAACATTTCTTGATTATTTTGATTCTAATCCAGAAGTTGATAAGTACATTAGAGGAAAACATTAAGCACACCCTATCTTTCTTTGGCAACGTGGTGGTCAGAGTGAAGCTTGAAATTGGATGTGCTTCTAATAAATTAATTGTGGCCCACTTCCAGATAGTGGAGAGCACTTTCCTGTAAAAGAGATCTCTAAGTATAGCTCCCCATAAAGTAACAATACACAGTTCCAAGACATTTTCTGACTCTTGGGAATGGCTCTTGAGAGAGTCAGAAATGGAAAAAAGGTGGAAGTAGAAAAAAATATACATGTTGTTAAATGAAATTCGGCATGTTCGATTGAAATGAATTTGTTCAGAATAATGCTGATATTATTATCAAAATTATAATGTCAAGAAAAGCAATACACCTACATTTAAATTTAATCTTATACAGAGGAAAAAAATAGTTGTGTAGCACTTGAAAACCTGCTGATATACAATGGCATAACTCTTACCTAGAGTCCCTTTGTGAGGGAGATGGGCGGTTTAAATTTACAAGGGATGCAGTGGCTCAGTGGCTAAGACACTGAGCTTGTCGATCGAAAGATCGGCAGTTCAGTGGCTCGAATCCCTAGTGCCGCATAACAGGCTGAGCTCCCGTTACTTGTCCCAGCTTCTGCCAACGTAGCAGTTCAAAAGCACGTAAAAAATGCAAGTAGAAAAAATAGGGACCACCTTTGATGGGAAGGTAATAGTGTTCCGTGTGCCTTTGGCGTTTAGTCATGCCAGCCACATGACCATGGAGACATCTTTAGACAGCGCTAGCTCTTTGGCTTTGAAACAGAAATGAGCACTGCCCCCTAGAGTCGGGAACGACTAGCACATATGTGCGAGGAACCTTTACCTTACCTTAGATAGATAAACGTGTTGGCTATCTGATTTTTTTTACTATACTTTGCAAACACCTCAATATCATACACTAATTAAAGTATGTATTTATGTAAACACTACAATAAAAAATACAAAAATAAGGGTTGAGAAACTCGCTTAAATGATGTAAATTAAATACTATAAGCATTCATAATAGTAATACATAATCATATAAGCTTATAGTCATAGCAAAATCAGATTTGCTATGACAATGCTTTTGGTTTAGCATTTTTTTTTTGAAGTCTCGTTGATATACTGTAGATTCCTATCCATTAAAACATATGCAAAACCATTTCTTGTTGTTGTTTTATTGTAACAATGTTTTTATCTACTTTGAAAATCACTTCCACTCAACTACAGACTAAAGTTTTACTCTATGGATATTTAAAAGATATATGTTTTACTTTAAAAATAAAATAAACCTGTTGAAATTATTGTGTACCCACACCTAATAGATATAAAAAAAATACACAAACACCAAAAACATGCTGAGGCCCTAGATAGAAGGATGTAGGGAAGAGTAACAAAGATGATAATGGGTCTGGGGGCTAAACCATATGATGAACAGCTAAGGGAACTATGTAGGTTGAGCCTAACAAAGAGAAGGATTAGGGGTGACATTAGCAGTCTTCCAGTATTGAAGGGCTGTCACAGGGAAGAGATTTATTGTTAATTTATTTTCCATAGCACTGAGCAAGAAGCAATGGGTGGAAATTTGTCAGAGGGAGATTCAACCTGGAAATAAGACCGAATTTCCCGACAATAAGAATGATTAATCAGTGGAAAAGCTTGCCTCTTGGAGTTGCTCCATCACTGGAGATTTTCAAGAAAATATTAGATAGCCATTTGTCTGGGATGCAGTAAGGTCTCCAGTCTGGGCAGGGGGTTGGACTAGAACAAGGGTCAGCAACCTGCGGCTCTGGAGCTGCATGTGGCTCTTTCATCCCTCTGCTGTGGCTTCCTGTTGCCGCCTCAATTTTGAGAGGAGGTTCCAGTTATGGGGAGGAAAAACACGGCAGACCACGAAGAGACTCTATGGAAAGTGGGGGGGGGTGTTCTGGTCAGCTCCACAATTGATAGGGCTTTCAGTTAGGACAGGTAGAAGAAAAAGAATGCCGCGCTAGGAAGAAATTCTATGGCGGGGGAACTGGACTTCCGGTTGGCTCCAGAATTGAATGTGGGGCTTCCTGTTAGGATCTTTGTGGCTCTTTGAGTGTTTAAGGTTGCTGACCCCTGGATTAGAAGACCTCTAAGGATCCTTCCAGCCCTGTGATTCTATGACCCTATAGTATGCCATTATTTATTTCTTGAATATAGTCAAACCAAGATAAACACAGACCTGAAACTAGCTGTGACTGCAATGCATACTTTTGTTTTGTTCATACTCTCATGTCACTAGGGGAACTGTTTAGTTATTGTAAATATCCTGAATAATGTTTACATTTTCTTTATGTAGCAAAATAAAGATTTTGAAAGACTTCTACATCTGTTACGTATATGTCCAAATGAAAGAACACCGAAGGACATTCTGCAGGTAAGGCATAACTCTGAACAATTATTTGATTGATAATTTTGAACACAATAATATGAAAAAAAAATGTGTAGACAATTCTTGCTTATACAAATATTTGAATTCAGTCATTTAACTAATTTTTAACATTCTGTTCTATACATTGTTTCTGTCATGCTTTTTCCCAAGTCTCCCAAAAGGTAGTAGCCATTATTGTATGTAAATGTTGAATCATATTACTCATTTATTAAATGAAACATCATTGTACTTCCAATGATATCTATGCTAATATTTTTATCTTTTAGTTGTGGCAAATTGATCCTTCCTTCCAAGAGGAAAAGAGGGTTTTATTTTTAATTAATATAGAATATAGAATAACAGAGTTGGAAGGGACCTTGGAGGTTTTCTAGTCCAACCCCCTGCTTAGGCCACCCCCTACATCACTTCAGACAAATGGTTATCCAACATCTTCTTAAAAACTTCCAGTGTTGGAACATTCACAACTTCTTGAGGCAAGTTGTTCCATGGATTAATTTTTCTAACTGTCAGGAAATTTCTCCTTAGTTCTAAGTTCTAAGTTGCTTCTCTCCTTGATTAGTTTCCATCCTTTGCTTGTTGTCCTGCCTTCAAGTGCTTTGGAGAATAGTTTGACTCCCTCTTCTTTGTGGCAGCCCCTGAGATATTGGAAAACTGCTATCATGTCTCCCCCAGTTTATAGCCAAGAAATATTATTTCTTCACAGTAAGTTGTATGTAAATAATTTGACCATTGTAATGATAATTCTGAACTGATTTCTCTAACGAGAGTCTGTTGTTACAAACTTTTATAAATAATGGTACAGCATTATGGTAATGGATGTGAGAGGTTTTTTTAGTTCTTTTGTTGTGGAATGGAAGGACCAAGCAACATTCCTAGGTCAGCCAGAGACAGTTTTATTGCGCAAGGTTCAGAGCCAGTTTTGTACATGAAGCTTTGAACAACGAGAGAACTCTGATACAACGGTTTTATACATTTCTAAGACAAAGGATTCAGTGAGATCATACATTTTCCATATATGATTAATATGAGATCATACATCCGATTTTCCCTATATGGTTACATACATTGGATAATAAGTTCATCTAATTACTTAAAGCATTAATCTTAGTTTATAAAATTATCTTAGCCACACAACTTTTCCTTAAGTGCTCGGAGTTGCTAATGGGAGAGTTACTACTGTCCTTGGGTAAATTTATTGGATTAAGTAACTCTTTGTAACATATAGGTTTTTGTGTCATTCATAGTGAGGTCACTCAGATGTTTTCCATATGGCAGTCCTTTTGTGACATCTAGGTCTCAGAAGATATATTACCACTTAATGGGGTTTAACTGTTTGTTAATATAATTTCCAACAAGCACTTTCCTCTCTTATAATAATGTGAATAGAGAGGTTCTCTCAGAGTTCATGTATCTATAGTCTCCCAATGGTTTACGTAGGAAGAACCTGGCTAAAGAGAAATACATATATATATTTATATATATGTTTTTCTGTCAAAGCATCTAGTCTACCCCAATATGTGAGGGAGCATTCTGCTTCCCTTTCGCTTTTCAGCTCCAATCCAGGAGCCCTCAAGCAGTCGCATTCACGACAAACCATTTTATACCAAATTTATATTTGCTGATAAAGAAATGAAGGGAGACTAGTATAGATCTATTTCAAGCTATTTAGCTCTCATCCGCTAGCCATACCCTTACTTGGATTCAAACTTAGGTGCCGGCATATTAGGCAGTTGTATTAACCTCTGAGCCACAAGTTATCCTCCCTTTATCAGCTTGAGCCAGGGGAGAGATTAAGTGTTTTTCTGTCGAAGCGCCTGGTTTACCCCAATATGGGAAGGAGCATACTGCTTCCCTTTCGCCTTTCAGCTCCAATCCAGGAGCCCTCAAGCAGTCGCATTTACGACTGCTTGTCGTACACACACACACACACACACACACACACACACACACACACACACTGCATTGGCTACAACTTGCAGGACACATATTATACGACAAGAGAAATGCTTATAGTTTTCCATTTGACAGAGAGAAATAAGAGGGAATATTTGACTTTAGAGAACCCTGTCTCTGATTTTGGAAGGAGGTAAAATTAGGAAATCCTCTGGCATTTGGGATACTATCCAACAAAACTTAGCATTACCTAAAATATGCTAGGTAATTACTTTCATGTGCTACTATATAAAGACACATTTTGTTAACTCTCTGTATAATAGACAGGCTTTTAGATCTCATAGATTTTTTTATTTAAGTGTTACAATATAAAAGCTTTTCTGTAAAGCTGATAAATATTGACAAGCATTTTATCTTTTAACATTACATTATGAAATGTAACCTTACATATTGGGGCATTAACCGACCAGCTATGGTCTGTTTATATCAAAACCTATGCCAGAGATTTGTTTGACTCAATAAATATATGATTTATAAATCACTATTTCTTGAAACAGTGACAATATTAGCAAAGTAAAACTATCCATCAGCTAATAATCAGCTTTGCTAATATAATTATTTGGATTTTTCCATTGGTAATTTGTCCACGGAAATAATTTTAAAGAAAGAACAATTCCCTGATTGGGAGTTCCTTTACAATAAAAACTGCAAATATCAAATTAGAAGTCTCTTTCTATAAAAGCTTCTGAAAAGAAAATCTGTAGTTGTCTTTTTTCATATCTAATCTCTTTACTCACATATGTCTAGGAGTCTCTGGAGGCTGGGGTCAGCAAAAAACGTCACTTCTTGTCAAACCAGGAGTTGGGAAATGAGCCATTTCAGGGCTCCAGAGGGCCTCCGAGGGGGTGGGGAAGGCTGTTTTCGCCCTCCCCAGATGCATAGAGAGGATCTGGAGCCAGGTGAGAAAGAAAAACCGGTCTTCCCACCCTCAGGCCCTCTGGAGGCAGGAAACAGCCTGTTTCTCTACTTGAGGTGGGCCCAGAAGGCCTGGAAATCAGCTGGCCGGTGTGCACATGCGCACCAGAGCTGAGCTGGCATACCCACTGATATGGCTAGGTGTGCCACAGGTTCACCATCACGGCTCTAGCAGATTGCTAGATTTTTTTTACAAGCTTTGAAGATTACCATATAAACCAGGGATCAGCCATACAGAGTCTTAGCATGCAAGACAGACAACAAAAATAAACAAAAATAAATGCTTTAATTGAATTTTTTTTTCAAGAGGCAACTGGACTTTCTGGTTTTTCTTGGAAGACATTTCGCTTCTCATCCAAAAAGCTTCTTCAGAGTTGAAACATCTTCCAAGAAAAACCAGAAAGTCCAGTTGCCTCTTGGAAAAAACACCTTTGGGACAGCATGACCTGGATGATTGAGAATCTCCATAGCTTTAATTGAAATTTGATTGAAATCTTGCATGATTTCAAGTGGGAATGACAACATGTCATCAGATTTTGAGCAATATGGTGTGTGTATGAAAATGCCAAAATGTCACACATGTTGTTGTTACACCACTGACCACTTGCAGTGGGCGACAGATTAGGAACAGTTACCTTAGAAACTAAAGCAAGTTATATGGAGGCAATGCAGAGCCAGTTTTAGGAACAAAACACAGTTGGGATGTGTCAGCTTGTTATCCTATCACAATAATTCTATTAAACATTGTTCCTTGAATTGAATGTGTCATTTGGGATATGTCACAAAGTGCTTGCTACTCCATTAAAACAGACTTCCTCTTAAGACAGTCTGAGAAAAGAGATGACAATTTAAAAGGACATAAAGTAGGATGTGGTGGCTCAGTGGCTAAGACGCTGAGCTTGTTGATCGAAAGTCAGCAGTTCAGCGGTTCGAATCCCTAGTTCCGCTTAACGGGGCGAGCTCATATTTTCTGCAATTGAGTTTGGAGCAGTTCACTTTAAGTTTGCATGTATTGTGTGCTCATGTATTGTTGTGGTTGAAGCTGAAGTAGTCATTGACAGGTAGGACATTGTAGCAGATGATTTTATGAGCTACGCTTAGGTCATACCGAAGGCGGCGTAGTTCTAAATTTTCTAAGCCCAGAATTTCAAGTCTTGGCATAGGGTATTTTGTTACGAGCAGAGGAGTGAAGGACTCTTCTTGTGAAATATTTCTGGCCGCGCTCAATTGTATTAATGTCCGATATGCAGTGCAGGTTCCAGACAGATGAGCTGTATTCGAGAATTGGTCTAGCAAATGCTTTGTATGTTCTAGTTAGAAGTGTAATATTACCGGAGAAGAAGCTATGCAAGATTAGGTTTACAACTCTTAATGCCTTTTTGGCGATGTTGTTACAGTGGGCTTTGGCACTTAGATCATTTGATATGAGTACTCCAAGGCCCTTGATAGAGTGAGGGTCATCTACAAGGTCATGTTCACTTAGCTTGTATTTAGTGTTCTGGTTCTTTTTGCCAATTTGTAAGACAGAGCATTTGTTGGTTGAGATTTGGAGTTGCCAATTTTTTGACCATTCCGACACAAAGTCAAGAAAGAGGAATTTGGCAGTACAAAACAGAAACTCATTTCCTTATCCTAAACTTCTGTTTTCATTGTCGGGAAACAGAAAGACTGAGTACTTTCCCTGATTTTGGATGAGTTCTGAGAGTAAATACTAATTTCACAGTTTCCACCTAAAGTCACTGAGAGTTGGATGATGGCATGCAAGTTTAATTATGGTGCATAGTGATGCGCATAGTGATACATTGATAGTGCCTTGCCTTTTTTTTTTTTTTTGAACAATGTTGGTCATTTCTTATTTTATACAATTAGTCAAATTCAAATACATTTTACTCAATTACAATTTTTGTCAATATGGTCTTCCCCCCTTTCCTTTTTTTTTTGAATATACCTCAGTATTTCTATACTTGCATATATAAACACCTTCTTCATTTATCCCTACATTCTAACTTTGCTAGTTGTACATATTTATCCTCTTTTATTCTTTAACAATTCATTCTTTTTCCTAATATATTTATATTTGTCTGTTCGGAGCTGCCTTTCTTCCACTTCATCTTCTTTTTTTTTTATTGTACAGCAATCTTTCTCCTCAAACCTAGCCTTTTCCTCTTCTCCTTCCAATTTTCTTTCCCCACCTTCTTCTTCTCTTCTCTACTTCCCCTTCCCTTCTCCTTCTCTTCTTCTCTTCCCCTCTGTCTTACCTTCTCTTCTACTCTGCTTTCCCTTCCCTTCCTTCCTCCTTACTCTTCCATTCCTCTCTCTCCTTCCTGCTCCCCTCCAATTCCTTCATCTCTCTCTATTCGCTGTATTCATTTTCAATTTAATATTTTCCATTGTGGAGTTCAGGCAGCCCCGATCCCTTATCTTTTTAATTATTAACAGTATATTTCATCTTATTCTCTTTTTTCCTTCAAGTCTTTACTCAAACGCTTTTCTAATCTCTTCAAAAAAGAAGGAAAGAAAGAAAGATGTGGGTGAAAGTGGGAGAGGAGAAAAGAAACCCCCCACCCAATAAAACGTGTTTTCTTTTTTAAAAGATGGTGCCTTGCCTTCAATACCCGTATTACTTATAAACTACATTCTCCCCCCTGCCTACGCAGATACAATTGTGTTTGAAGACAAACAGAGCCTTTCACAGCTTCCCCAGCAATGCACAACAGAAGCTTTGCCAAGCTTTCATCTACCAAAAGTAAGTAAGAACCCTGGGTGATACTACTGGACGCAAATGAGATCCACTCCATAAGCTCTCTTCAGAAAGCTAGGTCACAAGGTGAATGTTTTTCAAGAAAGCTGAAATTTTTCCAATTAAATATTTATCGTTCTTTAGAAATGACCTGCCCCATTAAAATAAAATATTGACAGATGAAAGCTACATAATATTACTTTGGTATTCCACGTTTCAGCAGCTGCCTTCTAATGGAGATCTTCTAGACCTTTGGTGACTAAGAAAAATACAACAGTATAGATGGCTGTTACTTTGAAAGATAATGTATAAAGCTCATTAAAGGTGTGTGTTGTTTTTTCCCTAGCTGGCACTTTACAGCTTGTCTATCAAGTTTCCAACAGACCTTCATTGAGTAGAGTGAAGGTTTTCAAGATGAGGACAAAAATTAGAGGACACCCTTTAGCTACGGTGTCAAATTTCGTTTGCAGTTTGCATAATCCACAGATGTATCTGTTGGCCCAGTCATCCGATGCTTCGAATCACCTTTTAAAAATAAATGAATTCAAGACTTTTTAAAATTTGGCCTTTTGTTATTTTTTTAAAATGGATTTTTTAAAAAATGGCTCAGAATTATTTGAGCAATGTGGCAGGACATTGCTTTTATAAGCAGTGGTGGGTTTCAAATTTTTTTTACTACTGGTTCTGTGGCTTGGTGGGCATCAGTGGTGGGTTGCTCCCGGTTCGCACCGGTTCTATAGAATCGGTAGTAAAACCAGCGGGAGGCTCCGCCCACCACCCTCGATGTCATCAAAATGCTTCTGTATGTGCGGCCCTGTTGCGAACCGGTAGTAAAGGTAAGTAGAACCCACCCCTGGTGGGCGTGGCATGGCTTGGTGGGCATGGCAGTGGAAGGATACTGTAAAGTATCTATTCCCACCCCACTCCAGGGGAAGGATACTCTAAAATCTTCATTCCCTTCCCACTCCAGGGGAAGGATACTGTAAAATCTCCATTCTCTCCCCACTCCAGGGGAAGGTTACTGCAAAATCCCCATTTCCTCCTGATCAGCTGGGACTCAGGAGGCAGAGAATAGATGGGGGCGGGGCCAGTCAGAGGTGGTATTTACCGGTTCTCCGAACTACTCAAAATTTCCGCTACTGGTTCTCCAGAACTGGTCAGAACCTGCTGAAACCCACCTCTGTTTATAAGTGTAAGGAAATATATTCTTTCCAAAGATGGATCCTCTTGATTAATGCGAGAAATTGACACTTTTTCAGATTAGAAGCAAGAAATGTAATTTGGAGGCAATGTTGGCATTTCCTTAAAGACGCTGTGCTGAAATATATTTGAACAGATGGAAGTGACCTTGCTGAAATCAGATACATGGCAATAGCAATCGCACTTAGACTTATATACAGCTTCACAGTGCTTTACAGCCCTCTCTAAGCGGTTTACAGAGTCAGCCTATTGCCCCCAACAATCTGGGTCCTCATTTTACCGACTTTGGAAGGATGGAAGGCTGAGTTAACCTTGAGCAGGTCAGAATCAAACTCCCAACCTGCTGGCAGTTGGCAGTCAGCAGAATTAGCCTGCAGTACTCTATTCTAACCACTGTGCCATCACGTCTCTTCATGGCAAAGCAATGAAGTTCATGAATATTTCCTGTCAAGATCATGCCATTTCTAAAATTGCCAAAAATATGATTTTCCACTTGATAAAGGAAAAACCCTTCTAAATATTACTGTAATAATGCCTTAATACAAATAAATTAATACCAGAGCAATTACTTTGCTAGGATTCCCTGCATTGTATCCAGTCAAAAGCAAGAAAAATCTTTGCACAGGGATGCCAAAAAGAGATACCTTTAGCATATCTATGCATTCTTTATGGCTTTTTATAAGTGTACTTAATGTCCTCTAAAAATCAAGGAGACTAAATATACTTGATAAGGTTCTATATGCAAATTAGTAAATCATCTGCAGAAAATCCTCCGGATGGCATGCAGACTTGAAAATGTCTGCTTCTAAACTTATTACTGAAATTCACGAAGCAGTAGAATTAAGTACCGTACTTTAGTTCTTTGATGATAAGAAACATAATATTTTATTCTATTGCTTATATCGCAGATCTGGACATATTTCTATATGTCCTGATATTCAATTACTACTGAGTAAACCCAAGAAAACTAAATAATATTTAGAACAGGTTTGTAGGATTGTTCTATGATCATAGAAAGAAAGTATAAAAGTACTGAATATTTAAAATATTTAAAAATGATTAAAATTTACATATACCTAAATATTTATCATATACTCCATTCAAGGATATCCCTTTTCTAAAAACCAGTTGCTGATTGCGTTCTAAATATTGTAGAAATGACTTCTAAAGTATTTTTTGTATAGGTACGTAGCTGGAACAGTCATTATGAAACAAGGACATATGGCAACTGAATGTTACTTACTGTTGTCTGGCAAGCTGAAATTTATGATAACTGATGAAAAATGTGAAAATGGGATTTTAGCCTCCAAAGCATTGTATGAACTGGAAGACGAAGATTTCATAGGGGTAACAATTTTCCTGTTTATAAAATAAAATAATTTGTGCAGATGCCACTTCTTAGTGTACAGAGTTAAAAACACGAAAGAGAAATGTGTCAAGAATAATTTTTTAGCTTATATTAAGAAAGTATGCACAGTACAACAATTGATTACTAGAGTTTTTTAATGTTTCCAATAAATAATCCTATTTCTATGGCAGTGTAAATAGTTTTCACAAACAAAAGAATGGACCCACTGAGAAAGGAACCATGGCAAAATGAATTCCCAACCCATTTAGGCAGGCCAATAAGATACCATGGCCAATAGTATCAACAGTTGCCAAGAAGACACACTCCCGTCATTCAGGTCCCAACATAAATCATTCAGGAGAGTGACCAATGCCGTCTCTGCCCCCATACATGGCCTTGAACCCAGACTGGAAAAGGATCTAAATAATTCATTTATATAGTACTGTGCAGCTGATTGGCCTCACCATCTCAGCAAACTTCTCAGGGGTGGGCTTCAAAAATTTTAGCAAGGGGTTCTCTGCCCAGTTGCTGGGTGGGCGTGGCCATGGTGGGCGTGGCCTAGTCGGCCTCCTGCACCATGGGGGGGGTGCGTTTTTACCCTCCCCGGGCTCCAGAGGCTTTCCTCGAGCCTCCGGGAGGGTGAACTTCCCGAACTTCCGGTAGGCCCGTTTTCTGCCCTCCCCGAGCCACCATGAGCCCTGCACTTACCTGCATCCAAAACAGGCCGCGTGAGGACTCCTGGGAGGGGGTAGGCGGGGCCAGCCAGGAGTGGGGTTTGGGGGTTCTCCGAACTGCACAGAAACTTAGCTAGAGGTTCTCCCAAACCCCTGCGAATCCCTAACAGCCCACCCCTGAACTTTCTCCAAAGAGGAGACATTGGATACAGAATGATAGGAATAATTTTAATATAACTGACTAATATGCTTTTGTACATTTTTCTTAGTAAATTTACATAAAGGTAGGCTAAAACTACTCTTGTTGTTTTTCAAGGAAACCTGTCTATTGACAAACACGAGACGTCCTGCTTCAGTTATTTGTAAATCTGATACCGAACTTCTTGTGATTGACAAAAAGGTATGGGATATATAGACTTCTTTTTCCCATAAAATATTTTGAATTTGGCAGTGTTAACATTTGCTTGGAGAGATCCGTTCCATCTGTGACACTGATGTACACAATATCACCACCTAAATTTTGTTTTTGTTTAATTTATTTCCGAGATGTTGGTTTGTTGCAGCAACAACAACCAAAAGTTGTTTTGTAGCATGCCTGAGTTAAATCATAAATTTTTGCAGACCCTTTTCATGCCACAGTTTAAATGGATGATGGATTATATGGAAAGGAAACTCCGAGGTGAATCAGAATGAGTAAGCCATTTAATTCTGTTTGTGATAATGCTGTTTGTAAGCATCATGGATTTTTTATTTTTTTTAAAAAAAATATTTGCTGCGGAGGAAACGCATTAAAATGGTAGGAAGAAGTGCCAACCTACCAGCTGTATCTTCAGCAGTTGAACGGAATAGCAAAATAGATAACTGTAGATCAATCTCTTCATTCAGAACAAGGTTCATCAGATCGACAGGGAAGAGGAGATCACCAGATCACCTGTGTCATTAATACAGGGCTATGGAGTACTGTGTTGATTCGATGCAAGGAAAAGAAATATGCACCAACATTTTCAGAAATAGGATGGATTTTCCACAGACAGGCCTCTTGGAAATTTCCAGAATATGTATCCCGCCACAGGACAGAGACCAGATTAAGCAGCAGTTAATTAATTAATTAATTAAGCGGCGGCTCAGTGGCTAAGATGCTGAGCTTGTCAATCGAAAGGTCGGCAGTTCAGCGGTTCGAATCCCTAGTGCCGTGTAATGGAGTGAGCTCCTGTTACGTGTCCCAGCTTCTGCCAATTTAGCAGTTCAAAAGCACATAAAAAATGCAAGTAGAAAAATAGGGACCATCTTTGATGGGAAGGTAACAGCGTTCCGTGCGCCTTTGGCGTTTAGTCATGCCGGCCACATGACCACGGAGACGTCTTTGGACAGCGCTGGCTCTTCGGCTTTGAAACAGAGATAAGGACCGCCCCCTAGAGTCAGGAACAACTAACACATATGTGCGAGGGGAACCTTTACCTTTAATTTCTCAGAGCCTCACTGACTCTGGTAACAGATGCATTTGTCCTTGAAGAAAGCTAACTCTATAAGCGCCCAAAGCAAAAAGGCAGAACGTGTGAGATTAATTACATTAATTAATTATTTAAAACAGTGTCCTCATTTATGCTTTCACTGCAGTCCTGTAAAAGAAGTAAGGTATGAGCCAAAGTATCTGCATTGTTGCTGGTTCCTCTTGAAGACTTGCCCATCTATTTTATCCTTTAGGTTCTCTGTATTCAAAGCGCCCATCCAGCAGGCCTCTCTTGATCCCAAGGTGTTAAACATAAGGTGATATGGCATAAATTAAAGCTTTGTTGGTAAGTGCCTTGTCCCCTTAAATGTGGCGGGCAATATTGTACTAATGGGCATTCCCCGTAACACTATCATCAAATCAACATTTTTCTCCTGTATGAATATTCATAAGTATAACAGCAGTAACTGTCACAGCTGAATGAATTATCAGTCGCAATTGTCCCTGAGCAGCAAGGTTTAAAGAAGAGAATCCAATGAGATTTAGGATAGAAAAGTCACAAAAGATTTTTAAGACAGAAAAGATTGTTGTGGTATTTTACAGTTCTGTCAACACTCTAATCTTCAGCAATTAAGTTCATGTTTTCCCTCTCGGTGTTATAAATTTAACATTAACTGCTGTAATCAAAATATATTTCTAATTCCTTAGCTATCTTTGTAGATTTTATAATATCTTATATACATATATAATACATTTTACAGTCATAGTAACAGGATAAAGCATATGACAGGGAAATCAACCTTCCTTGATTTTTTTTCATCTGTATTTTTTTGCTTAGCATAATGAATATAGACTTTATTTCTGTTATTCCTAACAACATGAAGATCTGAACTGGAATAATTTAGGGACCATTTCATTAATTTATTTCTGAAGAACGGATTTTAAAATAACAATGAAATTGACAATTTATTTCATTGCATAACCATGTTACAAATGTTGATACTGTATTCTGTTATACACAAAGCTTTTATATAGCTAATGTGCTTTTATTCAGCAGTTGTGGCCTAGATTGTTGACACATTAGAGAAGAATTTGACACGTGCAGATTCAATTTAATTAAACAACACTTTTGCAGAAGTTATATTGAGCTGTCTGTATATTAAAGATTTCTTGACACGGCAATAAAAATATTTCTCTGCCTATCTCCAAGGTCTAAATTATAGATCTGTGTAATACTGTAATATAATTTTATGTGTGTTATGTTGTAATAAGACATTGAAAAAGCTCATTCAGAGAAAATAAGAGTTGGATTTTCTTCCTCTAGTCTATAATTCTATTCTGGTCTAGATCCAAAATGCATTTTAATATACTAGAAGTGAAAGTTGATGGTTTCTATTTTGCATGTGGGTACATTTATAATCCATTAGCTTGCCATATTGTTCATATATTTCTGTAATGATCTCATTAGAGAATGTGGTGCAGAAGTGCAAATGGGAACGGCGAAAGGACATTACCCTTCAATGCTTTAATAATCCCTGAAAACAACGCAAATATTATATTTATCATTCAATCTCAGCATCTGTGGAAGAATTTTCTTGTGAGAATAACAGCATGGAAGGTCTGAGATAAACTTTGAGAGGATCTTCATATTCATTTTCGCTGATATGCTTTTCTGATTAATAAAGAGGAAATAGCCAGATGTTTCATGCAATTGTATGTTGATGTGTTAATAGGTTTGTCCATCAAATTGAAAGTAAGTGGTTAGGCAGAGGTTGATAAGATCCATGATCCTGGGTGTTTCAATCTTCGTGCATTTGGTTAAGTCATGTTAAGTCGTGTCCCGTGGAGCAATATTGTCATAGATTCTTTGGCTAATTCTGAGTCTATGGATGTGAAAAGGGCTGTGACATCAAATGAGACCATAATTTCATCCTCACCTATTGTCACGTCATTGACTCTCTGACCATCCTAGGCCAAGCCAAGTCCAAAAAACGGTGGAGAATTTCTGGAAGTCTGGCGCTCTGACAAATCAGCCATCAATAGAAACATAGACATAAACAACATCTACCTAAGGTACAATAGAGACAATCAACAAACCAAAAAGGGATCAAAAAGACCAAAATACCTCCCCATCAGCAATCAACACCCAGATGATCAGAATTAACACCTGCTTAAGATCAGGCCAACAATGAAGAAGTAAACAATACTCCAAACAAGGAACTGCAAAACTAACAATAAACGGGTCAGCAACCCGCAGCTCTGGAGCCGCATGTGGCTCTTTCATCCCTCTGCTGTGGCTCCCTGTTGCTGGTCAGCTCCACAATTGATAGGGCTTTCGATTAGGATAGGTAGAGGAAAAAGGATGCCATACTAGGTGGAGACTATGATGGGGGAACCGGACTTCTGGTTGGCTCCAGAATTGAACAGGGACTTCTGGTTTGTGGCTCTTTGAGTGTTTAAGGTTACCGACCCCTGACTTAATCAAAGTACTTCCAAGACCACCCCCACCACAAGTCACTAGAATATAAACCGAGGGCAACCCTCCACTCCTTACTAGCACTGATGATGTTACCTGGTTTGGTAATGAAATGTCTACAAGAAAACAACGAAGCTTGGAGAGCACCAAGGAGCCCTCGTTTCAACCTTGAGGCTACAAATATTCTCTTTATCGATAAAGGAACTTTGTCAGAAATATACCAAAGACACATTGCACAGGTTTTATGTGCTACAAAATTAGTACTTCAAAAACAACAGTAATAATGGTTTCAGAGCTTGCTTAACTATTGCTCTGAAACCATTATTACTGCTGTTTTTGGTTTTTGTTTCAGGCTCTGGAATGTTTAATTTAATGTATTTTAAGTGTTTAATTCTCAGAGGAAGCAACCGCATTAAACAGGTGAAAAAGACTTCTGAAAGAAAAAAAAGAAATCACACTTTGCAATACGGCCCGTGTTGAAATAAATATCTACAGAATGAAAGTCTTAATAGTTTAGAATTTCTCTTACATTTTTAATACGTTCTAGCTTTGGGAGCTGAAGATGTAATAAACGAAGATACAAGGGGATGAGTCATCAGACTGATAATACTGCCAGCATCAGACATTAACTTTAAATATTTATGTTTTTTTCCATGATAAAAGTTGTGACATGCACTTTAAAGTGTGGAGTAGATTCTCCCTGTCCAAGGAGAGGCTTTATCGCCTGGCATCGTGGCAGAAATTGATAGAGGTGGAAATATTCTTTCCGCGGTGATTTCCAAATTCAGAGTGTTGATTGAGGAGAGTAACAGAAATAAATTGGCCAAAAAGGGTGTACAGATTTCCCTAAAGACTGAAATGAATACAGAGAAGTTTTAAGAATAATGGTTACAATGATTGCAATAAGTACGATCTTGTTTAGTCTGGTGTCTTCGGGGTTAATTTCTGATGGGTAAGTTTAAAATCCCAATTTTTGTTTATGTTTTACATCTTTGACGCAGACATATTAAGCAGTTTTTGAGATGGAGGATTGTCCTTCAAAACCACCTTTAAATTCTAGGCTAAGACTTCTCTTCCATTGCAGTTCCTCCCTTCCCTTGCTTTTCAGATATGTCCACCTAAACATTAAGGTACACCTTTAAGATATTGGACTAAAATCCACACATGGTTGGAAAAAATGACAAAAGAAACACATTGACTTTAAATCAGAGATATTTTTATTAGGGATTTTACCAGAAAGATATAATAGAGAATTGAGATATTTAATTGTGAATGTTTTAACAGCGACTAGAATTGTATTTGCTAAAAATTGGAAAAAAGAGAAAATACCTACTGATGATGAAGTTATTAAGAAAATTATGGAATGCGCTGAAATGAGCAAATTGACATTTGAAATTAGAGAACAGGAAGACAAACAATATTATTTGATATGGGATTTGTTTTATCAATGGTTAGATAATAAAGCATGGAGATGAAGTATGAAATATGAAATTAATGTAATGATAAAATATATGAAGTGTTTTCTTATGGGAGTTAAGCCTTTGTTAAATAATTGTTAAATGGGAATAATAATATAAAGGGATATATAAAATTGCCAAATAAGAGAAATTTAACAATTTGTAATTTTGGATACGGGATTATGCACAAAAGAATCTTAACCAATCGACACACTTTCTGTGATTGTATTGAATGATGGTTGTTTTTAAGTTTTGTTATGTTTAAAAATAAAAAAAAAATTCAAAAAAAACCATTAATGTACACCTTTAAATTCAAATGTGAAACCAGTCAACTCCGTTACTGAGGATTAATCTTTCCTCAAACTTTCTTGCGGCAGTTCTTAAGTGAATCACTGCAGTTAGTAAATTAGTAACATTACTTACTAATGTTAAGCGAATCAGGTTTCCCCATTCACTTTGCTTGTCAGATGGTCGCAAAAGGTGATCACATGATCCCGGGGCACTGCAACCGTCATAAATGTGAGTCAGTTGCCAAGCATCTGAATCAGTGGTGGGTTTCTATCGGTTCGCTCCGGTTCGAGCAAATCGGTAGTGGCGGCCGCAGGAGGCTCCACCCACCCACCCGGGTGTCATCATGGACGCTCTGCCCATGCGCAAAAGGTTTAGAAGGTTCTGGGCATGTGCAGAAGTGCCGCAGGCACGCGAAGCAGGGGCGCGGTCACAGTTCCGAACTGACAGCGAAGTGGTGGAACCCACCACTGATCTGAATTTTGATCATGTGACCAAGGGGATGCTGAATGGTTGTAAGTGTGAAAGATGGTCGTCACTTTTTTTTCAGTGCTGTTGCAAATTTGATTGGTCACTGTTGTAAGTCAAGGACTACCTGTAGCAGAATATGGATGGTACTTAAAAGAGAAGGGTGGTGGGATTCACACATAGCTAACATGACAAAGGGGAGAAGGAGATGGCAATCAAACTATGCCATGGTCAGGGGTGGGTTCTACTTACCTTTACTACTGATTTGCAACGGAACTGCGTGCCCAGAAGCTTCGGTGCATGCGCAGATCGTCATTTATGACATCCGGGCAGGTGGGCGGAGCCTCCTGCTGGTTTTACTACCAGTTCTATAGAACCGGACAGAACCGGGAGCTGGCCATGGTGAAGAGAACTCTTGGAAAGCAAACAATAGCTGATTATAAACAGATTTGTTGTTTCTTCTTCATTTAACAGGTTTTTGAATGTGCTCTTGCCAGCATAAGGTATGAACAGTACCATGCAACTTGCCGCTTTTTAAGGTAACTGCTTTTTTTTTTTAATGTGTGTTTTAGATAAGAAGTGAGCAGCCATAGACTTAACTTAGTTTTATAAGCATTACAGTAATTGCATTCTATGAGTCTTAGGTACGGAACATGTGTAACAGGTAAAGGTTCCCGTCGCACATATGTGCTAGTCGTTTCTGACTCTAGGGGGCGGTGCTCATCTCCGTTTGAAAGTCGAAGAGCCAGCGCTGTCCGAAGACGTCTCCATGGTCATGTGACCGGCATGACTAAATGTCAAAGGCCCACGGAACACTGTTACCTTCCCATCAAAGGTGTTTCCTATTTTTCTATTTGCATTTCAAACTGCTAGGTTGGCAGAAGCTGGGACAAGTAACAGGAGCTCACCCCCGTTACGTGGCACTAGGGATTCGAACCACTGAACTGCCGACCTTTCGATCGACAAGCTCAGCGTCTTAGCCACTGAGCCACTGCTCAAATATTAATTTAATTTAATCAATCAATTAATTAACTAAATTAATCTTAATTTCAGGTAGGTTAGAATATATATAGGATTAGATCAATCACAGAACTTAGAAATGCTATAAAATAAAAAAATCATTGAAAATGAAGGACAGACAGTAAAAACTGAACCATGTGATAATGGGAAACATAAACTTGCTTGTTTTAGTACAATTTATAATATTTGGGTGGATATTTGGAAGATGCAGTCGGCAAAATCAATAGGAAAAAAACGAGAATATCTTTCATGCATTAAATCACCTTTTCTTAAACTGTCCTTTTAAATTATACAGCTTGCAAAACGCTGGCAGGCTGATGGTTATTTTGGGCACTGTAGGGAAATAACAATCATCACCTTTACTTTTCACGCCTTCTGTGGAGTAAACTTCACGCCAATGGCTGGATAGATACCTCATGCCCATCCCACCCCCATGTAATTGGCCTTCTTAAACGAAAAATGGTGCGTGTAAACTCACCCTCCGTCAGAGGTGGGTTTCTATTCTCTACCTCCCGAGTCCCAGCTGATTGGGAGGTAAGGGGGATTTTGCAGCATCCTTCCCCTGGAGTTGGGTGGAAATGGAGATTTTACAGTATCCTTCCCCTGCCACGCCCACCAAGCCACACCCACCAAGCCATGCCATGCCACACCCACCAAGCCACGCCCACAGAACCGGTAGTAAAAAAAATTTGAAACCCACCACTGCCTTCCACCTAAAAAGATCATTAGGATTCATAGCAGGCACTGGGATGTTTACACGGATGGCATTTAGCGTGCTTTGTGTATGAATTCACTTTAAGGAAAAGATTCTTATGAAAGCCTTCACAATCCTTCCTTTATCTTCATTCTGGAAATTGAGACCCGCTCCCTAAGAAATGCTGGTTGAATAATAAGATCAAATAATACCAGGTCGTAAAGATTTGGCCACTGGATAGGAGAGTGCAGATGGAAAGAAAATGATACCGTACCAATAAATAAAGTCCTAATTTAGCAACTGCAGTTGACACCAGCGATTCAGTAGTTAAGCAAAGTGATAATTTTGTTCTCCTGCTTGAGCTAGATTACCTCCAAGGGCTGGAATAGATGACCTTCAAGGTCTCTTCCAGCCTCTATTCTATTCTATTCTATTCTATTCTATTCTATTCTATTCTATTCTGTCACTAAGTGCAACCACAACTGTGCTTACGATCTTACTTCAGCTTTCCTTTGCTTTATAGACCTGCAAGGATCAATAAACACAAGGACTGGCCACGAAATTACTTTTTTGTCACCTTTCTAATGCAGAGGGTCACTAAACGTGGCAGTTGCAAAATGAGTACTAGCTGTACTGCACACACAGCATCTCTGTTAGTTTGCTTTTGAGTTAATAGAGATTGTTTACTGCCAGTTTTGTTAAAATAATTTCCGCTTCCAGCCTTTCCTGGAGAAAAGAGCTATGTATTCACAGAAAAGAATTAAAAGGGATAAAATTGGATCCTGTGCGTCTGTTCTAAACATAATAGGTGTTAAGTGATTTTAAAAAGGAAAACAGATCTTTGGCTTCACCTAGGAGTGATCAGTCATTTTGCCCTTGGATGTTTGTAAGACATGTCAAACTTAAGCACTTTTGCAGAGCAGGCTATACTCTTCAGATGGGTTTAATATTTCATACATATCTGGGTTATTTTTGCTTCTAGATTTAAAGCCCATAATTAATATATGCATTTAGCTGTAAAGTATCTCAGATATCCTTACATCTAATAGCGACACTGACACATGCATAATGAGATCATTCCAGGGGTGAAATCCAGCAGGTTCTGACAGGTTCTGGAGAACCGGTAGCGGAAATTTTGAGTAGTTTAGAGAACTGGCAAATGCCACCTCTGACTGGCCCCAGAGTCGGGTGGGAATGGAGTTTTTGCAATATCCTTCCCCCAGGAGTGGGGAGGGAATGGGGATTTTGCAGTATCCTTCCCTCAGGTGTGGGGTGGGAATGGAGATTTTGCAGTATCCTTCCCCTGCCAAGCCCACTAAGCCATGCCATGCCCACCAAGCCACACCCACAGAACTGGTAGTAAAAAAATTTGAAACCCACCACTGGATCATTCTTATTTAAATGTTTACTAAAGATACATATTTTATAAGTCTGTATCCAAAGTTCTTCACATACTTCTACATATTAATAAACACAATATATATTAGAACCTTCCTGCTTTATTTAGGCTGGTATACCTGTGAAATATACAGATGGCCAAGCTGTGATTTTCATCAGAGATAGGTGGGGGCAGATGGAAAGTCAGGAAGGTTGACAGCTAGTGCGGTGTTATTTCTATTAGTTGTCCTTATTCGATCATTGTTACTAAATACAACAGACTGGACTGTCTTTTATTGTCTGCAAATTACATCCCATAATCTGCGCCTTCCACTATATTTGCCACAATTCTGTTGGAGTGAAACAGACCGGACCGTTGGTCCAAAATATTGAATATTAGTATTATCAATACTAATCAGCAGCTACTCTCCAAGATTTTAGGCTGATTTTTTTTCTGGGAATTTATGTAGAGGTGTTGTGGCTCCGTCCTCTGAGCCTATCTTATCGGAGGAAGAAGGCTCCGAACATGAAGGAGAGGAGATGGCCAGGCCTCCCTCTCCAGGACCCTCCTCTCTGGCAATGCCTTAGGTGTCTCCCGAAGGAGAAGAGATTGGCCAGGAGCCAGGTGTTTCGGATAGTGACGAAGAAACATTGTGGTTGGACCCACACCAGTGTCGGAGAGACAAGCGGGCACAGCAGAAAAGGAGGCGTGCCAGAGATTAAGCTGAGTCACTGGACCACACCCCACAGGCTATAAAAGGGAGTGTGGTGGCCATTCGGACTCTGTGACGGACAAAGCTAATCTCTGGTGAGGCACTTTGCACCTTCGGACACAACACCTATTTGCTGTGGATTTAATTACAAACTGGACTATTCAAACTGTGTGTATTTTTGTCTGTGTTATCAGAGTAAAAGCTCTTGGCAGGCAGCCACGGAGTTGCTGCCAAGTTCCTTATCACTGACGTTGAGTGTTTGAAGAGTTTATTTAACCCTTGGCTGGCTGGTTGGGTGTGTGTGTGTGGTATGGGGACAGAACAAGATGATAGAGCAGGGATGTCAAACTTGATTTCATTGCGGGCCGCATCAGGTTTGTGTCTGACCTCAGGGGGGCGTGGCGTGGCTATGGAGGTATGGCCATCTTGATGTCACTCGTGTTGCGGGCGCCTGTGGCGGCCCGAGTGCTCTCCCAGTGAAAACAGGCTCGGCACTTCAGCGGTTCGAATCTCTAGTGCCGTGTAATGGGGTGAGCTCCCGTTACTTGTCCCAGCTTCTGCCAACCTAGCAGTTCAAAAGCACATAAAAAATGCAAGTAGAAAAATAGGGACCATCTTTGATGGGAAGGTAACAGCGTTCCGTGCGCCTTTGGCGTTTAATCATGCCGGCCACATGATCATGGAGACGTCTTCAGACAGCGCTGGCTCTTCGGCTTTGAAACGGAGATGAGCATTGCCCCCTAGAGTCAGGAAGGACTAGCACATATGTGTGAGGGGAACCTTTACCTTTACCTAATCCTGTAAGTAACCTGGAGCTAAGCCATAAATAATGACCAGCACCTTCCAGATGTATCTCAATCCAGATACAGATTGGTAAGCAGTAAAGATATGACTAAACGCCAAAGGCACACGGAACACTGTTACCTTTAAGCAGGGGGTTGGACTAGAAGACCTCCAAAGTCCCTTCCAACTCTGTTATTCTATTTTTGTCTGAATTTAATGTTCATTTTTCCCTCCTCTGAGGTCTAATTGTTCTCTTCATTATATAGCTGTCCACTAGAGGGCACTAGAGGATACAAGTTTATAAAACCATGTTTAGTTGTTTTTTTTAAATTTGATTTAAAAGTTAGTTAGAAGAGGAAAGGATGCAAAGATCTAAATAATCCTCAACATATGACTACAAGTGAGCCCAAAGTTTCTTTGCCAAGCGAGACACTTGTTAAAGGGTTTTGCATCATTTTACAACCTTTCTTGCCACAGTTATGTGAATCACTGCAGTTGTTAAGCTAATAACACCGTTGTTAAGTGAATCTGGCTTCCCCATTGACTTTGTTTGTCAGAAGGGAGATCACAGGACACTGGGATACCCCAACGGTCATAAATGCATGCCAGTTGCCAAGCAACCGAAGCTTGATCACGTGAACGCAGGGATGTTGCAATGGTCATAAATGTGAAGAGCAATCATAAGTTACTTTTTCAGTGCTGTTGCAACTTCAAGTGGTTGTAATTTGAGAACTATCTGTATAATTTAGAACAGGCATGTCAAACTCGCGGCTCGCGGCCCAGATGCATCATACGCTGGCCACGCCTACTCCTGGTTTAGCGAAGGAGTGGGAGTCGCGATACATCACGTGCAGTGATGGGTTTCAAAAATTTTTACTACTGGTTCTGTGAGTGTGGCTTGGTGGGCGTGGCTTGGCTTGGTGGGCGTGGCAGGGGAAGGATACTGTAAAATCTCCATTCCCTCCTCACTCCAGGGGAAGGTTACTGCAAAATCCCCATTTCCTCCTGATCAGCTGGGACTCGGGACGCAGAGAATAGACGGGGGCAGGGCCAGTCAGAGGTGGTATTTACCGGTTCTCCGAACTATTCAAAATTTCCGCTACCAGTTCTCCAGAACTGGTCAGAATCTGCTGAAACCCACCTCTGATCACGTGACACCATGAGTTTGACACCCCTGATTTAGAGTTACTGGAAAACAAATTCTGATTGAAAGTTTTTTTAAAAATGCTTTCTAACAGCCAGTAAAGAATAGAATTCTTTATTCTTTATTGGCCAAGTATGATTGGACACACAAGGAATTTGTCTCTGGTGCATAAGCTCTCAGTGTACATACCAGCATCAAGTAATATTTGTAGCACAGGGTTGAACCAACAGCTAATAAAATTTTTACAAAACATTAAGTTCAATTGGAGAACACTTTCAGTTGAGTAAAGGGTGGGCTTCCATAATCCTGAAGGCCCTCAAACTCAGAAATTCTGAGAAAATATGAGCTAGTCTTTTCTGTAATTAGCAGAAAAATATTTTATACTCATTCATCGTCTAGATAGTTTGTGGCAGACCTGCCAGCACTTAAACCTTTGAATAAAAATGATCCTTGGCTCCATTTGTTGAGAAAGGTATAATTTTATTAGAAGTCAAGTGTGTCGCAGTTGTGCATAGCCAGAACTGAGAATTGTGTGCCAAAATTTCTAAGTCCCTTAACTGACTCCCATCGCTGACCCTCTCCCCATGATGAATTAGGTTCAGGCAAGATGTTTTCAGAATAGTCACTTCGAACGTAGATTGGTATGCAGCTGTCTTCTCCCAGCCAGGTGACCTTGAAGCAGCATCTCAGGGAGATACAGCAGTTACTTTCGCTTTCCCCAAGCATTTCCCCCTCCCATCCACCCTCCCCGGAGTTTCTGGCAGATTGTCATTGCATGGTAGAGAAGCACACAAGCAAGGATACTGAAGCAGCTCACAGTTTGTCTCAAAGTGCAAAATAACAGAGGAGCCTGATACAGACGTATACACACAATGTGTATGTTTGTGTGTATCTCCAAGCTTACTCCCATATAATTGGGTGTGAAATTGCAAAACTGTCTTTAATTGAACTAACCAGATGAAAAGGAAAAGCTATGTTACACCTTGCTCACTGTCCTACTTATTGTCAATCACTCCTCTTTATTACCTGTAGGGACACGCCTGTAAGACTCCCCTTCTTGCATAGAATAGAATAGAATAGAATAGAATAGAATAGAATAGAATAGAATAGAATGGAATGGAATGGAATGGAATGGAATGGAATGGAATGGAATGGAATGGAATAGAACAGATCAGAATAGAACAGAATAGAATAGAATAGAATAGAATAGAATAGAATAGAATAGAGTATTACCTCATTTCACCATTTTGGAATTGAATGGAATGGAATGGAATGGAATGGAATGGGGTTGCAATGGGGTTGCAATGGGTCGGATACGACTTCGCAACTAACAACAACAAATAGCTGTCTTGATTTGTAAACTTATGAAGGCTTAGTGTTACATGGTTACACATTTCTGAAATATTACCAAACATATTGGAAAAATGTGTTAGCAAAGAATTTAACACCTTAATTTGTGATAGTTGCCTTTCATCTCCTTATAATTCTGCATTTGTAACCATATTAATGTACATTCCCAACTAGCAGATGTCAATGTATAGTAGTATCGTGTATATCTTAAAATTAATTATGTTGAGTCGTGTAATCCATTGATAATAGCTAAGATGCAGTGAGGCAGCTAGGATGATTAAAGCACTGTAGGCCTCAGCCCAACTAAAAATTCAGATTAGATCAAAAAGTATCCCGAAGGAAAACACTCTCAGAGGAGTGAGTGATCTCACCAAGAACTAAGATTTGAATAACTAGAGAGTCATCAAAGCTTCCTGCTACCAGATGTAGGTTTGTTTTACATATTTCAGTTTTGGAACAAATATTTCATTAGCAATTCTAATATATATTTGCCTTGTTTTTCTGCAGGAAACTTCCACTCTTCTCTACCTGGCCATCAGAAAAAATAGATTTTATCATTCATTGTTCTCTACAAAAATTATACAGGTTGTTATTAATAATGTGTATCTTGCTAGAATAATTAGTAATTAATGGCAGTTTTTCTACAGGTACAAACATGTATTATTCATTTGTTGGCAATATCCATTTTGCTGTCCAAATTCATGGAGATGTAACCCTAAGTGGATTTGCCCCCAGTGGGATTTTGCCATATTTTATTTTATTTATTTATTTATTTATATTTAAATTTATATACCGCCCTTCTCCCGAAGGACTCAGGGCGGTGAACAGCCAAAGGTAAAAAACATAAAATACAAAATTTAAAAGCAATTTAAAATATATTAAACAATTTGGTCCAACAATTTAAATACCCCATTTAAAATTAAAAGTAAAATTAAACAATTGAAGAAGTTAGGCCAGCCCTGCTTGTTGAAATAAAAAAGTCTTGAGGACCTGGCGGAAGATACGTAAATCCGGATCGTCCGTATCTCTGGGGGGAGCTCATTCCAGAGGGCAGGTGCTCCCACAGAGAAAGCTCTCCCCCTGGGGGCTGCCAGTCGACATTTTTGACCGACGGCACCCCGAGGAGCCCCTCTCTGTGGGAGCGTACTGGCCGGTGGGAGGCTCTCGGTGGCAGAAGGCAGTCTTGTAAATATCCAGGTCCTAAGCCATGGAGCGCTCTAAAGTTGGTAACCAACACCTTGAATTCCTGGGAATATATTTTCCCAGGAAATGTACGTAAGCCAGGCTTGAAAAATCAGTGCCCTCTAAGCGTGGGTGGGCTGCTGGGGGTTTGCAGGGGTTCGGGAGAATGTCTAGCTAAGATTCTATGCAGTTTGAAGAAGCCCAAATCCCACACCTGGCTGGCCCCGCCCACTGCTCCCCTCCCAGGAGTCCCCACGCGGCCCACACAATCTTCTGAGTGGGAGGCGAGCTCTTCACCACTAGGCCACCATGCCGTTCTCTCCCTATGGGAGGTTAAGTTTGTGCAGTAGATTGGGGGGGCGGCAGGGGTGAAATGCTCCTGGTTCGGACTGGATCGCCTGATCCGGTAGCGATGGCAGCGGGTGGTTCGGAGAATCGGTAGGAAAAATCCCTGCGCCCCCCCCCACCATGCCCAGCTGAGCCACACGATCATCAGAGGCTTTTTTTTTTTTACTTTTAAAAGCATTTTTTCTACAACCTCTTCCGCCGAAAAAATGCTTTTAAAAGTAAAAAAAAAAAGCCTCTGATGATCGTGCGTCTCAGCTGGGATCGTCAGAGGCTTTTCAAAGCATTTTTTCCTGCAACCTCTTCAGCCAAAGAGGTGGTAAAAAAAATGCTTTGAAAAGCCTCTGACGATCCCAGCTGTGTTGCCTGATCGGCAGAGGCTTTTCAAAGCATTTTTTTGCAACCTCTTCGGCTGAAGAGGTTGTAGAAAAAATGCTTTGAAAAGTTTTTTTTTAAAAAAAGTTGGCCACACCCAACCAGTCACATTACCCCCCCAAGCCCCACCCCCAGAACCGGTAGTAACAAACTTTACATTTCACCCCGGGGGGGTGTGTGTGCGGGAGACTGCCATTGTTACCTCCATTTCATTAAGAGTAAAAACTCTAAAGTGGGGGGGGGGAATCTTGAATTTGAAAAAGTTCAGATTTTTTAAAAAATCCGTACAATTCAGGAGATTGAAGAAACAAACCAATTATGCAGACTTTGGATAGAGTAGCTATTATAGCCAGTACTAATGGTAAATTTCTAAAATGATAGAAATACCTACCAATCTTAAGCAAAATATTGTGGTAATTTATTTGAGGAATATATATCATATACTTCTCTACGGAAAGACCTCATCATGGTTTTACCATTAAGATTTCTAAGAAAAAGACAGTGAATAGTCAGCATTAAAATAGAAACATCAGTGTGCTTAAATGAAACAGCAATTGAAATTCAACATTGTTTTTAGCATATTTCAAATACTTTCAGACCACGGCATGAGTTAATGAACATTTTGAGTAAATGTCTACTTACTGAGTAAGCTCTGATTTTTCCTTTGTATTTATAGAGCAGGAACAACTGTTATAACGGACAGCCTGAATTCTTACTTCATCGTTATTGTAAAATCAGTAAGTATCTTTAAGGAGAAAACAATAACAGTGTTATTAATGTATCACTTGATTTCCTAAAATTAATACTGACTAGAGTAGTTTATCGACCTTGGATACTTGAAGATGCTGGCTGGGAAGTTGAAGTCCATATATCTTAAAGTTGCCAAAGTTGGAGTGGACTAAAGTGAGAATACATTTTAAAACTCTGAAAGAAACTTTTGGTGCAGTGGTTAAGGCAGGTTTGTCAAACTCAAGGCCCGGGGACCAGATCTGCCCCCCAGGTTGCTTAGATCTGGCCAGTGGGGCCCCCTAGAAACAGCAAAGGACTGGCCCGCGGGCGGCCCTCCCAAGCTCTGTTTTTGCTGGCAGAGGGTTGCAGGAAGCTGTTGCAGCAAAAAATGGAGTTCGGGAGTCCCTTTTTGCTGGCAGAGCGCTCGGGCCACCACGGCAGTGGTGGGTTCCTCCCGGTTCGGTCCGGTTCGGCCGAGCCGGTAGCGGTGACAATATGACGTCACCGAACCGGTTCTCCCCCCCCACCCCCCCCACCCATGTTACTCTTACCTTTTATTTGGTCCCACCCCCAATCTATTGCTGCCTCCTGAGTCCCAGTTGATGACTAGAGGGAAAAAAACTGTTTAAACTCTTGCCGTGGGGCTTCAAAGGGCCGTCCTACAGCTGATCAGTGTTAAAAGCAAACAAATGAGTCGGGTCGTAAGTGCGAGGACTGGTTGTAAGTGCGAGGATCTTCCAGAAATGACTCTGACCAGCTAGCCACGCCCACCTAGTCACATGACCTCCAAGCCACACCCACAAAATAAGCCACGCCCACAGAACCGGTAGTAAAAAAATTTAGAACCCACCCCTGCACCACGGGCATACCTGACACGAGTGAGGTCGAGCTGGCCACTTCCACCCTGGCCCCTCCGAGGTCAAACGCAACCCTGATGTGGCCCTCAATGAGATCGAGTTTGATACTCCTGGGTTAAGGTGTTGGATGAAGTCTGGGGATATGAAACTTCAGTTTCACTTTCAGCCAGAGAAATTTATTGGGAGAGTTTGGAGCTCACCTAACCTATGAGGCAATTTTCTCTGGGGAATGAAATGAAAGCATATCCTTGTGTAAGGCCCACTGAACTCCTGAAACCAAAAAAAAAAAAAAAAAAAAAAAGATGGGATGCAAAACTAAGAGACAAAAATTAAATAAAAAGGTGACCATGTATCAGTTCTTTTCTCTCCCTCCCCTCGTCTGGCACTTTAAACCTAGGAAAGAGATGGAGCATTTGATACAGATATGAAGCATAATTCATAATTGTTGGGATTCAGCTTCACTAGTACAACAATTACATTGATAAGGATGTGAGTTAGAATTTTCAATACTGTGAAAAGTTTCAAGGTGATTCTAATAATATATGAGCCCGTAGTGGCACAGTGGTTAGAATGCAGTATTGCTCACTCTGCATTCCCACTGCCAGTAGTTCAATCCTGACTGGCTCAAGGTTAACTCAGCCTTCCATCCTTGCAAGGTTGGTAAAATGAGGACCCAGATTGTTGGGGGAAATATGCTAACTCGGTAAATCACTTAGGGCTGTAAAGCACTATGAAACGGTATATAAATACCATATTTTTCAGTGTATAAGAGGCACTCCCCCCCAAAAAAATGGCCTCCGCAGAGCCTCCTCCCCCAATTTTCAGCCTCTGCACATCCCATTTTTGGCCCGTTCCAGGCTGTTGGGATAGGCGGTGGCAGCAGCAGCAGCAATCCCCACCACCTGGAACAGGCCAAAAATGGGATGTGCAGAGCCCGAAAACGAGGTGCGTGGAAGCCAAAAACAGGGCGCACTTAGGCAGCAATAGGCGGCCGCAGCGATGGGTGGCAATGGGTGGCAAGGGGCAGTGGTATAGGATGCAGGTTGGATCGGAAGATTGGCATTATAGTTCAGCTAATTGGAAGAGGCTGAAGGCATAGATTATTTGTATGTATTTTATTTATTAAATTTATATGCCGCCCCATCTTACTATCCAAAGCAACTCTGGGCATCTTAGAATAAAATCATAAATATTAAAATTAACAAGATTAGGTAGTTAAATAGAAAACCAAGAGCACAAATGGTGTGGTGATTTCGTTTGGTAGAAAAATGAAACTGTTGAGAAATATAACCAGAGGTGGGCTTCAAAAAGTTTAGCAAGGGGTTCTCTGCCCCGGTTGCTGGGTGGGCGCGGCCGTGGTAGGTGTGGCCTAATCGGCCTCCTGCACCATGGTGGGGGAGGGGAGGTTTTTGCCCTCCCCAGGCTCCAGAGGCTTTCCTTGAGCCTCCGGGAGGGTGAAAACGCCTCCCCAGGCTCTGGAGGACAGAAATGGGCCTGTTTCCAGTCTTCCCGAACTTCCGGTAGGCCCGTTTTTCGCCCTCCCTCCTCAAGTCTCCGTGCACACCCTGCACTTACCTGCATCCAAAACAGGCTGCGTGGGGACTCCTGGGAGTGGAGGGGCAGGATTGGGAGGGGCCAGCCTGGAGTGGGATTTGGGGGTTCTCCGAACTGCACAGAATCTTAGCTAGAGGTTCTCCCGAACCCCTGCGAACCCCCAGCAGCCCACCCCTGCATATAACACTGGAATTCATAATAAACAGTTTTCCTCACATGGAAAATAACCAAGATAATTACACTATTCAAATGCTGTGTTTTTAATCCAGGATATTTTAAACACATGCTCACTATATTTCCGCTGGGGTTAATGAGACATCTCGAGACCATGCTCCAACTATTAAATTTGTATTTTAGCTCATAAAAAAAGAATAAAGGTTAAAGATAAAGAAACAAAACAAATAACAAACCTTCTCTATGGCTTTATAGGGCCGTTGTACAGAGGCAGCAAGGCTGGATCCAAGGACAATTAACACTCAAGATGGTAATTATTTTAATTTTCTTAATCATTTCCTCAATGTCACTCTTGAAACAGGTGATAGGTTAACTTATAGATAATCAAATTCAGTATATTATAACCTTTGGAACTATTTTCTAGGTCAAAAATGGGTTTGTACATGCAATTTGCTACTATATTTCCTAGCATTGAGCTTTTCAAGTGTATTTTGCTCTATAGTTTGAAACTATGTTGATAAATTACCAAGATAATTGATAATTTCAAGTGCATTTATACAGAGCTGAGAATATAGGTACAATTTATAATTTAGTAATCAGGACCTTTGTTAGATAACAGGAAGCAGACTTTACAGGTGCTTTCTAATTGGCTCAAAAATGCACCATGAATGAATCAACTGTGTTTCCTGTATTTCCCCCCCCCCTTATTTTTAATTAAAACCAAATTTAGCCAAAATCTACAGGCATCATGAACTGATTCCTGCAGGTTTCACATTATAAACCATTAGTGTTTATAGTAGAATCAAAGAAAAAAAGAAAGAAAGGAATAGAAAAAAGATAAAAAGATTTACAAGCATTAAAAAATTAGTTCAAAAATTGTATGCTTTTAGACATATTCTTTAAAAGATTATATACATGTCTTTGTGAATGTGTGTACACAAAATTTTAGATAAATAATAATTTTAAAATATTTAAATATAAATAGGGCAATAAGTTAATTTCAACATACACATTTTCAAAAGACCTCTACGCCTGTTCTTAGAAACTGTTCATAAATGTTTAATTGTGATCTATATCTTTTTGGTTACCCAATAAAGCTACATGGCAAATGACACCTCAATGCAAGCCTGAGAAACAAGGACCAAAGGTAAGGACAATACTTTATGGATGGATGTGTGGATCAGAGGTGGGTTTCAGCAGGCTCTGACCAGTTCTGGAGAACCGCTAGTGGAAATTTTGAGTAGTTCGGAGAACCAGTAAATACCACCTCTGACTGGCCCTGCCCCCATCTATTCTCTGCTCCTCAAGTCCCAGCTGATCAGGAGGAAATGGGGATTTTGCAGTAACCTTCCCCTGGAGTGGGGTGGGAATGGAGATTTTTCAGTATTCTTCCCCTGCCATGCTCACCAAGCCACGCCCACCAAGCCACGCCCACAGAACTGGTAGTAAAATTTTTGAAACCCACTACTGGTGTGGATGGATATATATATCTAGAAAGTTCTGCAATCATAGTTTGTTATCTTGTGGAAAAATTTAAGACATCAACAGACAGTATTTAACAATAATGTTAGGAAAGCTAGGAAGTTACACTAAGAAAATGGTCTCTTGTTACTAACAGCAAAATTTATCAGTTGAATTTTATATATGGTTATTGTAGTGATTGAAAATGGCCTTACATGTACACTGGCAATTGGCAAAGGATTGTTTTACAACTGATAAGTAGTACAGATGGAGGTTCAAAGAAATATGGACATTCCTGTATCTAGAATTTAACGATGTAAAAAAGATGTGGAGATTCTAGAAAGAGTGCAGAGAAGAGCAACAAAGATGATTAGGGGACTGGAGACTAAAACATATAAAGAATGGTTGCAGGAACTGGGTATGTCTAGTTTAATGAAAAGAAGGACTAGAAGAGACATGATAGCAATGTTTTCTCCATCTATTATCAGAATGATTCCCTGTACTTGATAATGTATAATTCCCTATACTTTATATCACTTTATAATGCCTTGGTAAGGTCACACTTGGAATACTGCATCCAGTTTTGGTCACCACGATGTAAAAAAAGATGTGGAGACTCTAGAAAGAGTGCAGAGAAGAGCAACAAAGATGATTAGGGGACTGGAGGCTAAAACATATGAAGAATGGTTGCTGGAATTGGGTATGGTTAGTCTGATGAAAAGAAGATTAGGGGAGACATGAAAGCAGTGTTCCGATAACTCAGGGGCTGCCACAAAGAAGAGGGAGTCAAATTATTCTCCAAAGCACCTGAAGGCAGGACAAGAAGCAATGGATGGAAACTAATCAAGGAGAGAAGCAACCTAGAACTAAGGAGAAATTTCCTGAGAGTTGGAACAATTAATCAGTGGAACAACTTGCCTCCAGAAGTTGTGAATGCTCCAACACTGGAAGTTTTTAAGAAGAGGTTGGATAACCATTTGTCTGAAGTGGTGTAAGGCTTCCTGCCTGAGTAGGGGGTTGGATTAGAAGACCCCCCCCAAGGTCCCTTCCAACTCTGTTATTCTATTCTATTCTATTCTATTCTATTCTATTCTATTCTATTCTATGAAAGAGGGCACTTAGACTTTGAGGAGTATGAATGTCAATCAAAATTATTACTATTCTAACTGTTTGATCCTGGATCCCACTTTGAACAGGAAGAACAAGTAAACGTTACCCCTGAACATCAGTATCCTTGAAAATGTTGCTGCTTATGGAGACATATAGTCCAACTGATGTACAAAAGTTATAATTTCAGGAAGATGCATCTCTTGAGGGAGTAGTCAGGGGACTACTGACTGTGGGGAAAATGGTTTAGCACTTAAGCTGTAGTGCTAGATTCCTTGACTTTTACATTAAACAAGCAAGCAAGAACAGAAGTATTCACAATATGCCAAACAGAGGTGGGTCTCAGCAGGTTCTGACCAGTTCTGGAGAACCGGTAGTGGAAATTTTGAGTAGTTCAGAGAACCGGTAGTAAAAATTCTGACTGGCCCCACCCCACATCTATTCTCTGCCTCCCAAGTCCCAGCTGATTGGGAGGAAGTGGGGATTTTGCAGTACCCTTCCCCCGGAGTCAGGCGGGAATGGAGATTTTACAGTAACCTTCCCCCAGAGTGATGTGGGAATGGAGATTTTACAATATCCTTCCACTGCCATGCCCACCAAGCCACACCCACCAAGCCACACCCACAGAACCGGTAGTAAAAATTTTGAAACCCACCACTGATGCCAAAGGCATATAGAGCAATAAAAAAAATAAAACAAGGCTAATCAATAATATTTTATTAATAATAATAATACACAGTAAAAATTGGATTCTCATTCAAGAGAAATGTTTTAAAATAGGGTTGAAACAACTAAATACCCTTGAGAGAAAAACGTTCAGGCCCAGCAGTTCCACAAATGTCCCTAGCTGAGAATGCCTCCTACTGAAATTCCCCCACTCACATTCTAGTAGTAGCAGATTGTTGTACAGGAAATTTGAAGATGATTAAAATGAACAGGTTGTAAACCTTCTCAAGATTAAACATGTTCTTATTTTGAATTTGGCAGATCCAATTACTTCTCCATTTCTTTTGTGTTAGTTACAGTATCCAAACTAAATTAAACAAAATATTCCCTTTAGTATCATCAGTCGTGCTATTGTTACCAGTTTAGTCAAAGTGAAATTCTTAATAATTAAAAGGCTGCAAACTATAATAAGGAAAAATTGTTTCATTTAACACACTTCTTTCTTTTCAACGCAGGTAGCTTCCTTAGTTCCTCGGCTGCTAAAGATAAGAACTCTTGAGCAAGGTGATATTTTTGTGAGTATTAGAAATGTACAAGTTAGTTGAACTAGAAACATATGGATATGTTTTTAAAATCCTGCAGCTATAAAGAAAATCTAATTATGTTACATGCATATAGTTGGAAATTAACATCCTGTCCAAAAGTTGTTACAGGTAGTCCTCAACTGATGACCACAATTGAGCCCCAAATTTGTGTTGTCAAGTGAAAAATTTGTTAAGTGAGATTTGCCCCATTTTACAACTATTTTGCCAGATTTGTTAAGTGAATCACTGGAGTTATAACATTAGTAACATGGTTGTTAAGTGAATCTGACTTCCCCATTGACTTTGCTTGCCAGAAGGTCACCAAACATGAGTCTGAGACATTGCAACTGTCATTTTTGTGAGTTAGTTGTCAAGTATCCAAATGTAAATAACATGACCACGTGGATGCTACAATGGTCATAAGTGTGAAAAATTGTCATAAGCAGTGGTGAGTTGCTACCGATTCTCCCCGGTTCTTGCGAACCGGTAGTGGAAATTTTGAGTAGTTCGGAGAATTGGTAAATACCACTTCTGCCTGGCTCCGCCCCCAGTCTATTCTCTGCCTCCCGCGTCCCAGCTGATTGGCTAGAAAGAAAAATTCAGGGCTCACTTGACAAAGAAGAGGGAAAAAAACCAAGATACCATTGCTTTAAATTGAGAAGCCAAGAAGCCTCCCAACTGATCAGCTAGAACCGATCCACTCCTTGTAAACCGCTCGGTGGTGGTAGATTGCAATTGAGGCCAAGCTCCCTGAAAACGGTTTCCGATGCTCTCGGTGGTGGCAGAGTGGCAAAAAACTGTTGAAACTCTTGCCACAGCGCTTCAAAGGGCCGCTCTAGAGCTGATCAGCGGTAAAAGGCAGTGTGGTGGTAGACCAGTGCGCTTCAAAAACAAATGGGTAGGCAGGTAAAGCTCTGCAAGCAGTTAAAAGCCTGGTAGACCAGTACCTCTGCTAAATCCTAAAGAATTGTTTGATCAAAAAATTCACAGTGACTCTGAGATAATCGAACAGACAATGGCTGAAAGCCAGATCTGCTAGAGATGTTTCTCTCCGGCCGACTGAGTCGAAACTGGGCCTGAGAGGAAGGAACAAGGGGCGTGTCAAAAAACTTGATGTGAGTGACATTGAGTTGACCACGCCTACCCAGCCACATGACCATCAAGCCATGCCCACTGTCACATGACCATCAAACCATGCTCACAAAATAATCCATGCCCACAGAACCGGTAGTAAAAAAATTTAGAACCCATCTCTGGTCATAAGTCACTTTTTTGCCATTGTAACTTTAAACAGTTGCTAAATGAACTGTTGTAAATTGAGGACTACCTGTATAGAAAATAAAAATTTGAACAGGGCTTCTGCTGTCCTCAGGCTTTCTCTGTGGATGATGTGACCTCATGGAGCAGGTTAGAGCTTTGATAGCACAGTGGTCTAAGCACCCTGTTATTAACACAGCTGCCTGCAATTACTGCTGGTTCGAATCTCCCCAGGCTCAAGGTTGACTCAGCCTTCCATCCTTTCTAAGGTAGGTAAATTGAGGACCCAGTTTGTGGGGCAATAAGCTGACTTTGTATAAATATACAAAAGTATGAAGGCTATTGCTTAACGCACTGTAAGCTGCCCTGAGTCTCCGGAGAAGGGCGGCATATAAATCAAATTAAAAAAAAAAAAAAAAAATTGGTTGCTTTTCTTTTGGCATTCCAAAAGGCAATGAAGACCATTTTTTATGCAGTCTTCAATAGTTAAGTTGAGGGTCACCAGCCTATTTAAGTATGCTAAAGCTGACTTTTAGGAATTGGTTGGTTGGAATATATGATATACCCTGATTGGAACTTTCTGAATGGACTATATAGTAATTAAACAAATACACAAATACTGAATTCTTAGGAACAGCTTCCACAGGAGATTCAACAGAGTTAGACAAAATTACATAGTTATTTAATATTTATTTATTTATTTATTTATTTATTTATTTATTTATTTATTTATCGTATTTCTATGCCGCCCACTCTCCGAGGACTCTGGGCGGCTTACACCAAATACAGTACACTAAATAGCATATTGCCCCCAACAATCTGGGTCCTCATTTTACCCACCTTGGAAGGATGGAAGGCTGAGTCAACCTTGAGCCAGTGAGATTTGATCTGCTGATCTGCTGAACTAGCAGTCATCTGAAATAGCTGCAGTAGTACACTCTAACCACTGCGCCAGCTATTTCCCAAATTTGACCAGAACACAGGAGGCAATAATTAATAGGCGGGAACTACATAAGGCAATGCCTCATCCTTTCTACATATGCTAATATATTCCTACAAACCATCTGTTATTTTTTTATTATTTTTTTATTGTACAACTTTCTTGGTTGTGTATAAAATTTCTACATTCACAATAACAGTATACTGTCTGGGTACAATCTCTACAGTCTCTGTTAAATACAGATAATTGATACACACAATAGTTGTGATTATTATTCTCAATGCCTATTCATCTTCACTTATCCTTGTTGAGAGTTTTGCATTATTTGATTAGGCCCTTTGATCGATTTTATCTATAATCCATTAATAATGATATCAAACATTATAAACATCAAGTAAACATCACATTTGTAACCATTAACCTCCGAATAATCTTAAGGTTTACTTATTCAATATTGAATATTAATTATTCAATATTCATTATTTAGTTACACAAATTACTTTATCTTTGTTTACCTATCCAGATTTCTAACTTCTACTATTTCCTACCCATTAATAGAATACTTCCCAGATTAAAAAAGTAATCTTTTCCCTTTTTCTAATTTCTATCTTTATGCTAATTCTTAATGTATAGCTCTTATGTTAAACAGTAATCTGCATTTATCCCTCATTTCTTGCCCGTTTCCGTATCTCAACTCTTGTTGACTTCTTGGCCCATCTCCCATAATCCTCCCATGGGCTCTTGTATCTTCTTATGTTGTTCATGTTTGATCTAAGTCAGGGGTCAGCAACCTGCGGCTCTGGAGCCGCATGTGGCTCTTTCACCCCTCTTCTGTGGCTCCCTGTCACTCAAAATATGCATCACAACTGCCAATGTGCGACACCCACTGCCACATGATTTATTGAGCATTTCAACCCCTGGTAGGCCAACCATGGATAAATCCAAGAAAAGAAAAGTTTCAGAAGAAAACAGAATGTTTAATTCAACTACATAAGCTAGTTTTGTGGCCGCTCAAGAAATAATCAGGCACGGGAAGGGTTTTGTGGCTCCCGATGTTTTCTTTTCTGTGGGAAACGGGTCCAAATGGCTCTTTGAGTGTTTAAGGTTGCAGACCCCTGATCTAAGTATTTCTTCTATCTCTACCACTTCCTCATTCTTTTGAACCTTCAATACACCTTTCAATGATCTTTTCCTTTCTTCCAGGGTGTTTTTCTGTGTACCCCCTTCTAACGTTTGATCTCTTGAAGTGTAAATCACCATTTATATTTCAGCTTTGACTGTCTCTTCTTTTTTATCTTTTTGTATCAATTTGTCATTTTCCCTCCCCTGTCCTTTCCTCAGTTCTTTCTATTTTACTTTCTGTTTCCTGAATTTCATGTTTGTTGTTCAATGTCTTTTGGTCATAGTTTTCTGGTCTCAGAACTACATCATGTATCAAATCCTTTACCTCCCTATGGTTCCTTATCATCATTTCCTGTGTACCTTGAAGCGTCAATAAAATTCCTTTTAGTAAAACATTTATTTCCCCTTGCAGTCCCGTTTTGCCTTATTTTAATAAGTTTAGAATTTTACTCAATAATCTGTCCAAATCCCAATGTCCCAGTTATGTCACACCAAGATAGCCAATATTAGAGCAGTTCATACAGTCACTCCATTAATTAGTCCCTTAACAGTCTCCACTTTGTTTCAAAATTCCAAGCTATTTCACACTCTCACACTGTCCAGCATATTTATAATCCTCAAGATTCTACAGGTTGAATGTTTTCACTGTCTGTCTCCAAACACCAAGTATAATCAGTTGCGGGTGTTTAGTGTATTTCAGCCAATCTGGTACTATCAACTTTCACTTCATCCACTTTTTCCAGCTCTATATTGCCTTCCTTGGCCAGCAGGTGTCACTGTTACATTTTCCCCTCCGTTTTTGCTGCAAATAAAATGTCTCCCAATAACATACGGTATGTTTTCCAATTATTTCCCAAAGTTCTTCAAGTCAAGGTGGTAGTAATAGTATAATCCAGAGTTTTGAAACAGTCTAATTTTTAAAGAGCTAACCAATCCAGTCTGTCAGAGCTGAAATACAGCAGGTTCTGACAGAGAACCGGTAGCGGGAATTCTGGAGAACCGGTAGCGGAAATTTTGAGCACTTCAGAGAATCGGTAGCGGAAATTTTGAGTAGTTTGGATAACCGGCAAATATCACCTCTGGCTGGCCCCAGAGTGGGATGGGAATGGAGATTTTGCAATATCCTTTCTCCAGGAGTGGGGAGGGAATGGGGATTTTGCAATATCCTTCCCCCAGGAGTAGGGAGGGAATGGGGATTTTGCAATATCCTTCAACCAGGAGTGGGGTGGGAATGGAGATTTTGCAGTATCCTTCCCCCAGGAGTGAGGAGGGAATGGGGATTTTGCAGTATCCTTCCCCTTGGATGGGGTGGGAATGGAGATTTTTCAATGTCCTTCTCCCAGGAGTGAGGAGGAAATGGGGATTTTGCAGAATCCTTCCTCTGCCATGCCCACCAAGCCATGCCATGCCCACCAAGCCACGCCTACAGAACTGGTAGTAAAAAAAATTGGATTTCACCACTGCAGTCTGTCCTTTAATTTTAATGTTACTTCTGCCTACAATTTCTTTTCTTTTCCAAATCTGACAGTAGCTTCAGGTCTATAGTCATCGCTTATTTACCTCTGTTGAGTCCCACTTTCCAAAGGGGGTGCTTGAGGGAAAATTCCACGGCAAAAAGTTAGAAGACTTCTTACCTAGACAGCACCTCAGTTATTTTTGAAGTCAGACTTATTTCCAGTCTTGGTAGCCAGCTAAAACAACAAGATGCATTTTTGTTGTATTTGTTTGTTCATCAGAATCTTCAGGGAAACAGTAATATCTCCTCTTGTTTTTTCACTCCTCTGATTTTTCACTCCTCTGCATTTCTTTTATGTGGTTCCATTTCCTTCACCTTCTTAAAGCGAACTAAATTTGGCCTGAAGTTTGAGAAACATTTCCCCTGTTTTAAAAAGTTATGGTCCAAAATAGGGACCTGGGTGGATGCCCTGTCAATTTCTTAACACAAAAATCTTCGGAACAATAACTCTATGTTAACATCTCTGTTAGCTTATAATATTCATAAATATAGAACTGTTTCCAAGGCTGGTTTTAATAAAATGAGTTTGGCTTGAAGAAATCAATAACTTTAAGCTAACCATCAAGTCTCAATTTACACCACAATGCAATATATATATTTATGATTGATCTAAAATGAGTAGAATGCTGAAGAGAATAATAGCACATTTAATATTTCCACTTTATATGAAGAGTGCTGAAGAACGGGTGAGCCTAATCTGGGAGAAGAAACAGAATACTCTATTAACAACAAGCATAAAGAAAAATGGATAGAAATAATGGAAAACTTAAGACTTCACCCAAAGTAGCTGAAAAGTATGATCCCTATTATGGAAACTGGGAGAACTTACTCAGAGAACCTAAATATCATCCTCTCAGATAGCTTTACATATAAATGTTCCTTTAGATCGGGGTCCTCAAACTACAGCCCACATGCCTGATACGGCCCGCTGAAGCCATTAATCCGGCCCGCACAGGACCACGAGGCTGCCCCGCCCACATTGCCCCACCTACCCGCCGGTCCCCACTTGTCTTCTGGAGGCTGGGGAGGCAAAAAACAAGATGTATGGAGGCCTCTGGAGGCCAAAATGAGCAAAGAATAGAAAACTCCTTTTTTTCCCCTATTCTCAGAAGATGAGTTGGAAAGACCTATGAGAAGCCTCAAAGTAAGAAAAGCCTGATGGGATTTTCCCAGAGTTTATTAAACATTTAGGACCACATGCTAGAAGAGGGCTACAACGATTTTATGCAGATGCTTTGAACACTGGAAAGATTCCCCACTCTGTTCAAGATATCCCAAACCCTTGCTATCCTTAAACCAGGGGTGGGCTGCTGGGGGTTTTCAGGGGTTCGGGAGAACCTCTAGCTAAGATTCTGTTGGAATTTGGAGAACCCCCAAATTCCACTCCTGGCTGGCCCCGCTCCACCCCTCCCAGGAGTCCCCATGTGGCCCATTCTGGATGCAGGTAAGTGCAGGGCACACACGGATATCAAACTGTAACATCTATCTCACTGCAATTCTAGGGCTCCCTAATATGGTGATTTTATTATGGTTTATCTTAATGTAATATTTTATTAAAATATTAGGGGACGCGGTGGTTCAGTGGCTAAGACGCTGAGCTTGTCAATTGAAAGGTTGGCAGTTCAGCGGTTTAAATTCCTAGTGCCACGTAATGGGGTGAGCTCCCATTACTTATCCCAGATTTCGCCACCCTAGCAGTTTGAAAGCACATAAAAAATGCAAGTAGAAAAATAGGGACCACCTTTGGTGGGAAGGTAACAACGTTCCGTGCACCTTTGGTGTTTAGTCATGCCGGCCACATGACCACGGAGACGTCTTCGGACAGCGCTGGCTCTTCTGCTTTGAAACAGAGATGAGCACTGCCCCCTAGAGTCAGGAACGACTAGCACATATGTGCGAGGGTAACTTTTATCTAATATTTTACCTCCTACATTGTATTGTCCACATCTCTCTCTCTCTCTCGCTCGCTCACTCACTTGCTCGCTCGCTCTCGCTCCAGCTCCCCCCCTCTATACACACACACACACACATACACATATATTCGTTGATGCTTTATTTAAACTAAATTTGTATATCAGTGATTACATGGCGGATGCTATATGCTAAATAAATAAAAAATCTTTCCACTGCAACTAATTTTTAAAATACCTCACTGAATGAGATTCAGTGCCAGCTGGCACAACACCGCCCAAAGTCACTTGACATTGAAATGGGCAGGATATAAATTTAACAAATAAATAAAGTAAAATAAATAATTCTTCAATTATTTATTTAATTATTCAAAATGGAAACAATATTATTAGCATTATTCATTTTCTTAAACTGTTTATCATTACAGGGACTGGCCAATTTAATGGACAAGTCGTGTGTTCTTCAGCTCAGTTTGGTAAGTCCTTATTTTAGAAAAAAAAAGAAAATACGTTTATCTTACTTTAAAAATAATGTTAAGACTGAAGATCAGCCTTGTCAATTCAGAAATCAATATTCTTTGTGAAAAATGAGAGCATATAAATAAACTGAACGTTTTTTAAAAAATCAAAGGTGCTTTTTCAAAAGGCAACTGGACTTTTGGTTTTTCCTTGAAGACATTTCGCTTCTCATCCAAGAAGCTTCTTCAGTTCTTCCTCTCTCTGAGGAAAAAACACTAGTTTTTTGGGCATTGGTAACATATTGATAATTAATAGAAGTACTGATTTGGTCTCCTTATGCCAGGATATTTCTTGCTAGAGCATAACAATATATTTCCTGCCTGGGCAGGGGGTTGGACTAGAAGACCTCCAAGATCCCTTCCAACTCTGTTATTCTATTCTATTCTATTTTTTGAATTACATTCTTTTTATGGTAGCTATATTGGCTATCAAAACAATGTAGTTATTATGAGTAGACATCTTTTTTCTTGTTTCTTCATTTGACTTTATTTAAATAACATTAAGATGCCATTTAAAAATCCTACATGTAGCTGGTTCCCACAGAGAGGGTCTCCTCCGGGTGCCGTCGGTCAGGCAACATCGACTGGCGACCCCCAGGGGGAGAGCCTTCTCTGTGGGGGCACCTGCCCTCTGGAACGAATTGCTCCTGGAGATTCGGAGGATCCCGGACCTACGCACCTTCCGCCATGCCCTTGTTCCAACAAGCCAGGCTGGCCTAATTCTAATTCTTTTTAACTTTTAATCTTTAATTTTTAATTCTTGAGGTTTAAAAATGGGTTTTTAATTAGTTACGGGCCATATTGTTTAATATATATTTTAAATTGTTATTAAATTTTTTATTTGTGTGTTCTTATTCTGGCTGTACACTGCCCTGAGTCCTTCGGGAGAAGGGCGGTATATAAATTCAAATAAATAAATAAATAAATAATAAATAAGTATCTAGTGACTTTATGAAATTAATAAGCAAGAAATATAACTAAGAAATTATGTAGGAAATGATATGATTCTGGGGCTTTAAGCTTTAGTGCTACAGAACTGTTGTGCTCTGCTTATCCACTTAATTTTGAATAGTAAATTCAACCAAGAAATACAAGATGAGAGCTTCAGCGGAGAGCATACTTATCTGCATGCCAAATAAAACTTTTTTGTGGAGTAACTTGTGCTTCAATTTCTAGCCATTGCTACAATTTATTGCAAAATAACAAAACGGAAAGCAATAAATATTTAGAATAGCTGGTAAAGTACTTTCATGCATGTTCACATTATATTTGCCGCCTGCAATGTGTCTTCAGAAACACATAATGTACAAATCAGTTAAATTGGAACTCTTGTTATGAAACAGTGTGGGTTCATATATGTATATTTTCCTACTTTGAAACCAGGTATTGAATGTGGTTTGTTGTTGTTGTTTTTCGTTCCTGGTTAAAAGAAAACTTTGGGTGGTGTTATTCCCTAATTAATATCAGCCCTAAATAAATTTTAATTTTAACTGTGAATTAGAAATAGCAGACACAAAGAATGCCCGTCTAATCAGTCACAGTAACATTTTCTCTGATAGTCTCTTCATTTTATTTGGAAATTGGAATATATTGTTCTTTAGACAAACCATATTCTTGATAAAAATTCTCATATTTAGATAAGATTGCTCTTCATCTTAACAGTTTAAAAACTCTTCTATTGTGGGCTAAATTTAAATAAGTGTTCTTTTTTTGGCAAGCATATACAGTATGTGTAATGATTAATACGTTTAACTACCTTGCTATCTTTTTTTGGAGAGCTCAGATTTATTTTATACGTAACACAATAGAGTGTAGCCTTAAAATATAGATTATTTACAGTATCTTGCTTAGAAAAAGAAATTGTTATTACTATTTTCCTGTTTCCACAGATCAGTGAAGGTGCAGAGTGCATATTTATCCCCAAACGGCTGTTTCTGGAAGAAGCAACCGCTAAATCCAAGCAGATGGCATTACAGATGTTCAGCAGTTATCCCACAGAGAGTACGATCCAGGAGAGTTACAATTTACAGCAAGCATGGAATAGATACAAGAACAAACTTATTAAACAGCACCTTAAATGGCATCAAAAGTAATAATGGCTGGTAAATATATTTTATATGCGTTGCAAGCCAACCTTTTCTCCTGATAAGAAAATACTTATTTGCGAAAATATATGACTATAACTATTTAAAAAAAAACCCCACATTTCAGTTTCTTTTCCATATCGTAAAATGGATTTATATTCACTGGTGCTTTTATATCAGTTTGTGAGATGTTGATAAAAATATCTTTAAAGCAGGGGTGAAATGTAAAATGTGTTACTACCGGTTCTGTGGGCGTGGCTTGGTGTGTGTGTGGGGGTAAGGTGGCTGAGTGGGCGTGGCCAACTTTTTTTTTTTTTTAATTTTTCAAAGCATTTTTTCTAATGCTTTGAAAAGCCTCTGGCTATCAGGCAACTCAGCTAGGATCGTCAGAGAGGCTTTTTAAAAAATGCTTTGAAAAGCCTCTTTGCCGATTAGGCAACTCAGTTGGGATCGTCAGAGACTTTTCAAAGCATTTTTTTTACCACCTCTTCGGCCAAGAGGTTGCAGAAAAAAATGCTTTGAAAAGCCTCTGACGATCCTAGCTGAGCCGCACGATCATCAGAGGCTTTTTTTTTTACTTTTAAAAGCATTTTTTCGTCGGACGAGGTTGTAGAAAAAATGCTTTTAAAAGTAAAAAAAAAAGCCTCTGATGATCGTGCGACTCAGCTGAGCAGGGGGGGGGGTGTGCAGGGATTTTTGCTACTGATTCCCCGAACCACCCGCCGCCATCGTTACCGGATCGGACGATCCAGTCCGAACTGAGAGCATTTCACCCCTGCTTTAAAGATCTAAGGGGTGCACATTGGCATAAGATGTGCAATTATTAATTTATTGTAGAAATAAGAGAAATTGTGTGTGTGTGTGTGTGTGTGTATGAAATATAAAGAGAAATCTGGAGTTCATTGGGATTACGGCATATTAGACGCATCGTAAAACATACATCATACATACATGCATGCATACATCCATACATACCAATAATTTGTGTATTTGAATGTAGGATGAAATTTGGGATGGATTTTTTTGCTTACAATCAGCTCTGACTTCTTTTTTCCAGGGCAGAGACTGGGGATGGGTGTGTAAAAAGAGGTTGACCCCGAACATGAATACATACTAGGATGAGTTTAGGGGTGGAATTTTATGTTTAGAACTGGTTATGCATTCTCTCTTCTGGAATGGCCAATTCTGAGTCCTTGGGAGGAAAATTCTGTATGTGTTGTGGCCCGCTGGTAGCCAGCGGAGCAGTGAGGAGATTGGGGAGGAACATGGGTCAGTCCTGGGGGCTGGGAAAAGCTCGGACAGAGGCAGAGAGGGAGATAGTGAGGCAGAGGAACAGCTGGAGCCTTTTCCCAGTGTGCGCATGCGCAGAGCTGCCAGAAGACAAGAACAACTAAGAAAGCAGGGTCGACTTGGGAGTAAAGCCACACCTTGGAGATGATTGGCCCCTCCCAGAGGAAACAAAAGAGGAGCGAACGGGGAGTGGGCTTTTGCAGGAAACAATTAGTTCATTCGGTCGTTTCAAGAGTGGAAAGTTCTGTTCGTGACTCTAAGAGACTCTGTGCCAAGTTTTGCCTTGTATTACGTTTGGAAACTAGTTATCTGGCAGCTTGCCAAGCGAGATAAGGTCTGTGTTGATAAATATTCCTTTGAAAAACTGTTTGGACAGGCCTTGCTGACTGTGAATGAAAGGAATTCACAGTCCTGTAAATAGAAGAGGTTTTGCCGGGACCAAGACTCTGCTTCCTGCTTTTTAAGGGAGCCTAGATCAGAACAGTAGGCTGGTAATAAGTGCAGGGGTTGCACAGGGAGGAAAAAAAATACCTTCAATCCAAATGCAAAAATTGAGGATGGGATTGTTCTGACCTAGGCTTCCTGAGTCATTAAAACACACGAGTAGTCCGAAAAACCTCTTTTATTGCAACTGCTGTGAATTCTATTCATTCACAGATGAGTCCCAGTGAGTCCTTTGGGAGAAGTCCTTCGGGATAATCACTCACCTTTATCTCCCTTGGCACACTGCCAAAGACCTAATTGGCAAAGCCACACGGAGTCCAGAATCAAACAGCTTCAGGCTTTAAGCTGAACCGAATGAACAAACGTTGCTTCCTGCAAAGGCCCACATGCCTTTGCTCCTCTTTTAAGGCTTATGGGAGGGGCCAATCATCTCTCAGCCTTATTCCCAAGTCATCCCTTTTGTTTTAGCTGTTCTTGCCTTCTGGCAGCTCTGCGCATGCGCGCACTGGGAACAGGCTCCCCCTGTTTCTCTGCCTCGCTGAGGTCCGACTCTGGAGGCTCCGGAGGCAGCATGTACCTCCCAGATGGCCCTTTCTCTGTCTGATACAGAGCCCTTGTCCAAGCCTTCCCCAGACTCCAAGACTGGCCCACGGTCCTCCCCAGCCTCCTCACTGTCCGACTCTGCTGCAAGCTCCGCAGGCTGCTGGCGGACCACAACAGAGATGAGATTCGGAATGGTATTGTATACCTAAATGCTGAGACCCCAGGAAAAGGGTGAGGGGGTGGCAGTGATGGTCCAGGATACATGGGAGGCATCCAGGGACTTTGCTCCACAGATTGCCAGATGTAAGGCGATGTTTCTTAAATTGGGCACTAGGAGAGGTCAGTTAGGGCTGTTGCTGTTGTACCAGCCTCCCTGCTACATAGCAACCTGCCTACCTGAGCTCCTTGACTCTGTGGCTGGGCTGGACTTATGATGCTGGGGGATTTCAACATGTAGGATTTCAACATATGGTGCTGCTGTCCCTACGTGTGGGATCAGAGGCAGCTGGGGAGTTTATGGCTGTTTTAGCTGAAATATATCTTTTTGAATTGTGAGTCATCCAGCATGGATGGAGAGATGAGATGAGATGAGATGTGTTCTGCCCCAGCTCCAGATTTCCGAGGATATTGACACAGACCAACAGTCCTTATAAAATTTATTAAGTAGCAAGAATAAACAAGGCCAGCAAAGGTTGGCAACCAGCCCAGAAAACAAGATATGATAAACCAAAATACTCTGATAATAATACGAGTTGTTTCCAGCAAGAACGCACTAGCTGCATGCGACTTAAATAGGCTAAGGGAGTGGCCAATTATCCTCAAGCCCTACTCTCGAGTAGACTTCCTCCTCCTGAGTAGCCACTCCTGCCTTTTGGCAGCCCTGCGTGCTCGAGCATTGAGGAGAGGCTCCTCCACTTCGCTCTCTCCACTTGAAGGAGCCTCTGGAGGTTCTGAAGGCCCTGGCTGAGTCTCTGCCTCTGGCATCACATCCTCTTCAGCCTCCTCACTGTCCGACGCGAGCGCTGGCTGTGCAGGCTGCTGGCGCGACACCACACCAGCCTCCTCTTCATCGGGATCAGCCACGATCCGTGCAGGCTGCTGGCGGGCCACAACAAGATGAGAGAGAGAGAGAGAGAGAGAGAGAGAGAGAGAGGGAGAGATGTGATAAGTAGATAGGTAGGTAGGTAGGTAGGTAGGTAGATACATACAATACAATACAATAAAAATAAGAATAAGAAGAATAAGAAGAATTTTATTTCTATACCGCCCTTCTCCCGAAGGACTCAGGGCGGTGTACAGCCTATTAAAAACACAAGACAACATCAGTTAAAATAGTTTAAAATTATTAAATGAATTCGGCTCAATTTAAAACTCAATTTAATACAATACAATACAATACAATACAATACAATACAATACAATACAATACAATACAATACAATACAATACAATACAAT